ATAGGCCTATAATCATTCTTATAACAAATTATCTCATTCGAAAGTCCATTAAATTCTGTGCATTGTGGTATTTAATTGTTTTAGATTGTACCACTGGTGCTGAAGTTATCAGCTGTTGTCTTTCCTGAATATTTGTCTAACTAACCTCAATCTCTGTTGACCAAGACAACTAATAAGTCGAGTTTTGGTGTGATTTTACGTCGTGATTATAAGTTTTAAATCTGTAAATGTTTATTTGGATATTATCATAGACTAACCAACCACAAGTAGACTTCCCCCATTGTAAATTTTAAAGCACGTTTTAGTGTCTAGTTAATGTACGGTGACACTGGGGGCTAGTGTCGACAAAATTTTGTTTCCATTATTTTAGGGTTAATTTCTTGATTTCTGCTATACTGTTTGGTTATAGGGTATAACTAGGGGACAAGTTGTTGTTTATGATTAGATCGTATTATTTGGCTAAACGAGGTTTTAAATGACTGTAATAACGGGAAACAAATTGTAAACAAAACACGACCTCTACATAAACCGTACAGAACTAACAATAAAATTGTCTCCAGCTGTTCCATAAGGATGAGAAATCTACTAAGGGAGTATGTTTTATCTATGATTTTATTTATTGTGCCTTGACTAAAATGTGACATTACTTTTAGAAACTCGAGACACTACTTTTAGCCAGTTTTGTGAACTTTATTGACTGTTTACCAACAACGAATATCGCAGCTGAGACTTTATCACTTTAAATCATATTTATTAGGCTAGTTGTAAATTTTTACATATTTAGTTTGTAAACTGTTTCTTGTGGATAGACTTAGGTAATAAATTTGAGGTTTGGGACATTACATTTAGCCCGTTTTTGAAACATTTCATCATAATGAACAGTTGATTTTATCACCACATGAAATAGGCGCAGCAGCATCTATATATAATACGCTAAGCCGATTTTTGTGAACAGAACTCCTCCTTCATTTTTAGACGGATTTTGACAATTAAAGTATCAAAAAAATGGCCCCAATGTGTAGTTTTGCAAAGTGGTTTTCGTTTTTTAAATCTTTATTAGTTTGGGCAGGATCTTCCATCAAAGTTGGGGTTTCTCCCATAAAGTTAACATGGTGGAATCTATATATTTAATTGGAAAGTTTGTATCCACTAAATTGAGAGAACAGCTAGGCGTAGAACCTTGGTAGCTAGAGGTGTCTTAAGAAAGGTCTTGGTCTGTAGATGAACAATCAAAAGAAAAACAAAGTAAATTCCCTCGGGGCTCTGCCCCAGTGACCTTTAAAGTTCCCTCCCCATATTTGTTTATATTATGGCCTTATGGATAATTTTTCACTACTTTTTAATGAAACCGCTGTTTATAATTGAATTTGTAACAACCCACATTACGGAGTTGGATTATTCAGAAAAGAAGTATTTGCAGTGTTGTTTTCTGATTTTAAAATAGATTTTTTTCGGCATCATGTCATATTTTACAATACGTTCCATTACAAAAACAGTGGAAAATATTAATATCACAGTAACTCTTAAAATTATTTTGTTATTGAATTATCTTTTATCTATATCTATTGTACAGTTTGATGCCTGCCTTTTGACCACTTTTGCCTATATTTTATCATTTTATCAAGACACATCATCATACTATGGTTCATGAGATTATTGTCATACAAGATTCCAATCATTTTACAAATTTTCGGTTGTGTAATAAACTTACAATACAAAATAATACAAGTGCAGAAAGGCACGTCACCTACATGAACCGTGTTCATACTTTATTAAATTATTAGGGGTTTACAGCAACTGGATTACATTTTTATGTAGAAATAATATGTGCAAGATTTAGAAAGTCATTTAGCTGGAAAATTGCAATTTACTGCAGGGTTTTCAGAGAGGTTACTTCGATGTATTCATTCAGCATAGTGAAAACATAATATAGATATGTATACAAATAAGAACTTTAAAACTCTTAGAGAGCCTTTGAATGTTATTAGACCAACGACATGGGCTGTGCACATTTAGAAGTGCTACTCAGCAACAAAATCCATATAATTTATATCTCAAAAAAATATATTCTCAAAGTTCACCGAGCAGCAGCCAAAACAATACTGTGTAGCTAACCCTGATAGCTACATAAATGCTTGAACTTGATACTACAAAAAAGTTCAGGTCATAGCCATTTTATTGGGCTTGGATTGTGACATTTATCATTCGGTTTATATTTCTCTTGACCAACAGATTATTCATCTGCAGAAGAAGTTCATTGTGCTCTTATCGTGTCTAATAACATCCAAATGCAAAAAAGAAACATTGCCTAAAATAGTACCTATGGTTGACAGATGATTTGCAGTGACCTATTACGGATTGTGGCCCACAATTTTAAAAAAAATAAAACTACACTTCGAAAAATTACAGAAAGAGTAATAACCATTTAAGTAATTAACTGTAATTACTAAAAGGTCGAATGTTCTTTTAAAATAGAGCTCATTGTCCGTTATAAGCTACGTTGATTAACAACAATGCATGTAAACGTCACTATGTACGTAACAATTTACAGAATTTGCTTTTTGGAAATTATGCAGCATGGCTTTCTCATCATTTGCATTATTTGTTGCCAATGAAGTTGCACGACCATATGAACGAGGCCCATAACAGTTCAAGATTAATTTAAGCCAGTTTCACTACAAGTATATTCCACTATACTTAACATTCCGAAGAGAGATTACATCTTTGACAACTTTATGTAATTGATAAGACAGCGACAACTGACATTTGCCGCATCAAGGAATCCTAGCTTAATCAGTAACCCTACGACCGATTTCTCAAAACTATGCTAGAGGGTTACTCGTTGGCACAGGAGTATGCTATGGTAACCAACAAGTCAAAGGAAAAAATCAAACTTAAACAGCTTAAGGGTGGACCTCCCTTTGAAATAAGAACGTGCCTTCTCACCAAACAGTTATATTTTCTCAAATAAAAGGATAGATTCAATTTGTATTACACTGATGAGATCACGGCAGTGTTTGCCACAAAAGATCCACCAATACAATTTTAATACTGTTTAAAGGTTCTTCCAAAAGGAAAAAAACCAGTTAACATGGTAATAATAACTCCGGTGACGTACGGTATGGGAAATATTTTATTCATTGAATGACCAACGCAATAGTCATAATTGTTTGTACACTTATTACTCATTAAACAATGCTAAATGATCAAAATTTGTAAAATTTCTATTTATCGGAGTTAGACGAATTATATATAAACTTTAAAATGGTACCTATGCAAGTAAAACTCAAGGCTAAAATTTGTAAAACGTCTAATATTTATTAAAGTACTTGGCTCAAATAAATGAAACCTCGCAGTCGCGTTTCTTTTGCAATGACAAATAAATCAACATGAATTGCTAATTTGTCACTTGTCAAAGTCCACAAAGGAAGTAATTAATTTATAACGCAAGCCTACTTGCGTGCAACCGCAATCCTGGTTACAAAAAGATAAATTCAGTCAGAAATTACAACATCTCAAGTATATAATAATTTATCACTCAATAATGCATGAAAAATACCGTTTTATTGAAATAATATTAGTAAACTGAATGATAAATTATCATATCTTTGACAAGCTGTAACTTCTGAAAGAATAAACCTTTTTTAACCAGGTTTGCACTGTTTTGATCTACTAACAGAGACCTGTAAAACGAGGTATAACTCAAGGTGGGTCTAAGTCAAAACGTTCCATGAATTCTTTCGTGGACCGTCCCTTGAACAAGTAAAATACCCCCGCTGCAGCAAACCTGCCAACTAAGCGAATTTCCATTTGCCGGGATTGATTTTCAATTAATCTATTAAATTGACATTTATGTTTTAACGAGTACCTAGGTTAGCTGCTACAGGGAAACTAATAAAGTGTGTTTTTTATTAAAATATAGCTTAGTATGAAATAAATAAATCCGCCAAGTTTGATCAAAATATATCCATAAACAAGCCAACTACAACATTTTACAATTTTCCCCGAAACCATTCACTGTATAAAAACACTTTGATATAGCCTACTAAATTATTTGTTTTTTAAGCTCTTTAAACAGGTCTAGAAAAATTTATAAATTTTGTGTTTTAAGGGTAAAAAATGAGAAAACTTCATTTTTACCCCATAAAACCCCCTGTTAAACCACGTTCCCATGGTCCGATCATGCTGGTTCGCAACTCATTCAAGTTTATCCCGCCTTACACCTTCAAACCAAATTTAATCAAAATCTGACAAAAATTACTCTAGTTATTGTCCTGACCTATCAAACATCCTTTTTTATATGTACCTAGGCCTATATATATAAATTCCTAGATATATATATATATATATACATGTAGCCTATACAAATTTGAACAAATTGTGTTTTTGGCCTCTGGGGACCTCAAAATGAAGAAGTAAATCGGTGTCGGGCCTAGGACTTACCATGAGACCTACGGTAATAGCTACTTCCCTATAGGGAAATTCCCTAATATAAGTAAATAATGTTAATTTTTTTTTCATTGCATTAGAAACATGACTGCAAAGTTTAATGGAATGGTGCCAAATACTTTAGTAGGTATCAGACGTTTTCCAAATTTTAAACTTGACGTTTTAAACAGGTTTGTGCTGTTTTGATCTACTAAATAGGACCTTGAAGATTGGTATGCTTTCGTTTAGGAATTTAAAGACTTCCACCGTGGACCGTCCCTCGATGATTCGAAAACCAGATTGGCACCACCTTTCTTGGGGTTCCAATCTGTCGTGGTGACAATTAGACGTGTACTCGTAAGGGGCCTATGTCTATTTTCAACTATTTTTAAAGTTAGCGTTTGGATCCCATTACACTGTAAGGTCGATTATAAAGTTTTTTTTAGATTTTTAGAGATAAGTTAGGCTTAAGCCTCAGTTTCAAAACATAAGAAAGTGGAAGTAGGCTAGTGCTTTAAGTAGGTAGGCCTAATGTTACTTAATTGGTATCACTTCTTATATACTTGTTTTAGGTTAAAAGAGCAAAATAGTGTGTCCTTAAACTGAAATAATGATACCAAGAACCCATGAAGAAATTGAAGCGCAAATTCGAGAGATTCAATCGAGGAAGAAGAAATTTGGAAGTGAGGTTGAAGAACGAGTTGGCTTTGGGGATTCTGGATCGTTTGACAAAGAAATATACGGAAGCAAAAATAAATTTGAGGGGTATTCTAAATCCATTGCTGTGGATGATGATGTTGAAGATGAACCTTCTCTGGTGAGTAAGAAGAACACTTATACTGCTCCAGCAGCTCTTTACAAAGAAATTGCAGAAGCAGGAGCAGACAGTGATCCTTTTGCGGATAAACGTCGTAAAACAATTGCTGAAAAGGAAGACGATTACAGGAAACGACATCGTAAACTTGTGATTTCCCCCGAGCGAGTGGACCCGTTTGCAGATGGAGGTAAGACTCCTGCTACTGGCTCCCGGACATACAAGGAAGTCATGAGAGAACAATGGTTGAAGAGGGAAGAGAGCGAGCTTCGGAACAGGCTTATCTCAAAGGCGAAGGAAGGATCTCTCACGTTAATGATGGAGTCAGATGAAAAAATTACGTCTAGGAAAGTAAAAAAAGTGAGTGTCATTGTTGCACTGTTTTTTCTCGCATTTTGATAACGGAATGTTGGAGAGGATAGATTTACCAAACTGTAATTTTGTTTTGATTAGGCCTAGGCCTAATACTTTTTTGGATTAGGGAGTAGTCTATGAAAATTACATTAGATGAATTTTCTTCTACGGAAAAGTGAATACAGTCTTAATCCCACGATGAACAGACATTTATGAAAACACTTCTGATCTTTTCTCAAGAATTTTCATTTCTTTCTTGTGTCATTTTCTAACCAACGTAATGTTTTGTAAATTAAATTAGGTATCGTATCTAAATAATAGTACTGGTAATTTAATGCTATTAGTTGTGTGTATAGGCCTACTTCTTTCAAAGAGACCTGTTTAAGGATATGTATAGAAACATTTTTATTTGTTAACCATATGTTTCTAGTTCATTAATTAGGAATTACAGTAACATCAGGGTTGAAAATTGTGTTTTTAGTTGTCTAATGTAATGTTTGGCTTCATTTTATCTATGGTTCATATTGAAGTTGAGAAACAAATGTTTTGGTCATGTGTATTATTTGAAAAATTTTAGTACTAATATAGAATAGTGGAATAATTTTAGGTATTGAATCTGTGAAACAAATGTTTTGGTCATGTGTATTATTGGAAAATTTTTAGTACTAATATAGAATTGTGGAAAACTCACAACAAATTAAGTGCACAAGGCAGTTTAGCTTGGCGTTATAAGTGCTTAGAACATTTGAAAAGGTACCGTTAAACCCTAAATCCTAAGTAGGCTCCTAAGGAGTTTAAACTATACTTGATTACAATGACTGTAAATATCTTTAGTAAATGTTATCTTTCATGTGGCCTAAGCCCATTAGCCGAAAACCGGGCTTTCAACTCCGAGGCTTAGGTTTGAATGGGTTTTGTTTAAATGGAAGGCCTACTTGGTATTGGGGAGCGAGCTAGTCTAGTGGATAGAGCACGGGACTTTGGTCCCTTTTAATACTTTTCATTGAAATGACGCCCATACAAAGTAGGTATTTTAAGCCAAGTATGAATGGAGATGAGTGGCGCGATCTTGTAGTCTTGTTAGTGACTAAGGCCGACATATTCCTTATACACAGCTTTTAGTTAAAGCCCATACAGCTAATGGCAACTAAGGGACCTACAGTTTTGCCTTGGTATTACCGAATTGGTCTAATTATCAGTATAGTACTGCGGATAGTCGTAGTACGGTAGTACTCACTAGTGCGGACGTTAAACCACGTAAATCCCTGGGGTCCCGCCAAATCACCAATGGATTTGATTTAAGTGATAATGCCGCAACCCCTAGGTCTAGCCTGAAGTGAAAAACAATCCCGGGCTCGTGTCTAGCGTCCTAGGACAAAAAAAAACATGATATTGCATCAACCTCGTCATCTATTACTACCAATGATAATGTAGTTCTTTATGTTCCAGACTAGGAAAAAATCCACTCACAGCTCAATGAATAAGAAACAGAAGCGATCAAGAAGCTCATCAAGTTCATCGGAGTACACGGATAGCGATGAGAGCCCTAAACGGAAAGCTCAGAAATCAACTAAGAGTCCTGAAAGAAACTACCAGAGAAAACATAACAGACCACAGAAGAACCGAGGGGATTCAAGCAGTGAAGAAGACAGTAGATACAAATCCAGAGAGAGTAAGACTGACAGATTGAGAGACACTGGTGCATTTAGTGGTGTCAGAGTGAAAGAAGAACCTATCAGTGAAGATGAGAGGGGTAGGAAAGCAAAGCACAGGTAATGTGAATATTTTTTAAATCAGGTATTTAGTTGCTAGCTTAAATATTTCCCTAATGCCTAAAACGATTATTGTTTGTCAATCAGCTGTGTTGATTAAATTGTTTGATCTAATAATTTTCCTAGATCGTTACCTATATAGAAATACTATTAATTTATGCATCTTTTAATTTGGATAACAACTGCAAATGCTTTTGAGAACTAAAGAAAAAAAGTTGATAAAAACATCAAGTTCCAACCGTAAGTGTAAAAAAATATTAGATTCCCTTTAGTGTCTAAGAAGTTAAAGTTCTTTCATACAATTTTATATTAAACTAGCAGAGTACCCGTCCTTCGTACGGGGTTGGCATAAGTATCAAATGCTTATAGCAGTTATGAGTGAGGACATGGTTTAAGAAATTTCGGTTCTTTTTGAAGTTCGTTCGCTACGCTCACTCACCTTCAGGCTAGCTCGTTCGCTACGCTCACTTGCCTTCAGGTTAGCTCGTTCGCTACGCTCACTCGCCTCCAGGTTGAAGTTCGTTCGCTACGCTCACTCACCTTTTGGTTGCAAATTAGCTGTTGCCATAAATGTAAAAGAAATAATGCTAGTGCTGCACCCTGTTGGTAATCCTTGTAACTTTAATGCTATTGAAAATCATAGAACAGAACCAACTTGTATAATTGAAACAGCTGTTAAGATTCATTAATTCCATTTCTCATAAGGTTAACATGGGAACCTTTGCTCCAGAGCCACTGGGGCGGAGCCCGGAAGGATTTTTGGGATAAAAATATGCCTATATGTTAATCGGGAATATGAGCTATCACCATGCCGAATTTCAGCCCGATCCGACCAGTAGTTTTCGCGTTTACTTTTCCCATACACACAGACACCACCGCTTTTAGCGAATTTCCCTATAGGGAAGTAGCTATTACCGTAGGTCTCATGGTAAGACTTAGGCCCGGGACCGATTTACTTTTTCATTTTAATGTCCCCAGAGGCCAAAAACACCATTCGTTCAAATTTTTATATATATATATAGATTTATATATATATATATGTGTCCGTGAACACGATAACTTGAGTAATTTTTATCCGATTTTGATGAAATTTGGTTTGAAGGTGTAAGGCGGGATAAACTTGAATGAGTTCGCGATCCAGCATGATCGGACCATGGGAACAGGGTTTTATGGGGGGTTTTATGGGGTAAAAATTGGTTTTTCTCACTTTTTACCCTCAAAACACAAAATTTCCCAATTTTTCTCTAAACCTTCTTAAAGAGCTTAAAAAAACAAACAATTCAGTATATCAAAGTGTTTTTGTACGGTTATTGGTTACGGAGAAAACTAAAAAAATGGTAAATTTAAAATTCCCATGTTATTCTTATGGAGAATATTGTAAAATGTTGTAGTTTTCTTGTTTATGGATATATTTTGATCAAACTTGGCAAATTTATTTATTTTATAGTAAGCTATCAATATTTTACTAAAAATACACTACTTTATTAGTTTCCTTGTAGCAGCAAACCTAGGTACTCGTTAAACCTAATGTTATTTAAATAGATCAATTGAAAATCAATTCGGCCAAATGGAAATTCGCTTAGACGGCAGGTTTGCTGCGGCGGGGGTATTTTATAATAGTATAGATAGATAGATGTAATATTGCTAATTAAAAAAAAAATAGCCATTTGCATTGTTTGTGTGCAATACTTTACTACTATCAAGGTAGGTACTATCAAGGAAACCCTCACAGCGACGTCGCGGTCGGAAAGCTCTGAGATTGTGCTTCTGCGTCAGGAATATCTTGACGCAGATAGTAACATTGAAACCCGGCTCCGTGACATGGAAAAGACCATGGCTATGCCAGAATATACTTGCCCCGGGAGTTGGTGAGGGTCATTCCCCACTCGACAGCCCTAGCATTAAAATCACCACCCACGACGACGTGTCCGGTGGTATCGCGCACGCTCTCTTCTAGGCGGTCTATCTTCTCACGAAAGTCACGGATGGCCTCGTTGGGTATAAAACCATGGAAAAGGCTATGCTGGACACCTTCCGGACCCAGAGAGCCGTAAATCAAGTGGTCAAAAATGGAATGGCCAAACTAGAGGATGACCTTGGCTTTGTCTTTGCCTGCCGTCTGGTAAGCAAGGCGACCATGGAAAAGATTGCCGAAAAGGTGGTGTCCCTGCCCGATGAAAGAGCGCTGCCCTCTAAGAAACGTCGGAGGCCTTCCACATCGGAGAGTCCTCCAAAAAGAGAAGAAGGCGTCCAGACCAAAAAGACCACGGTTAAGGCCAAGGCGACTCAGACGGACCTCTCGTCTGCTGTGTCCAGATCCTTTTCGGACGTAGCTGCAGCTCCAGCGAGGCGCCGACAGGCACAGCAACCCACGACCCCCCTTCAGGGAAGTTCCCGAAAGGGGTCAGTGGTGGAGACACCTGAGGCTGTGTGGGAAAAACGCCTTTCCAAAAAGGAGAAGAGGCAATTGAGGCGGGCGGAGGTCGCCTCCATGAAGAATGAGGCAGTGAAGGCACAGCCAACCGGCGTGGCCCAAACTGGGCCCGGCTCGGTCCCTGCTCCGAAAAGGTCGCGGCCCAAAAAGCCCAGGACGGAGGCAATCCTTGTCAAACCCTCAGGGGGGAGATCTTTTGCCGAGGTCTTGGGCATAATAAAGGCCAAAGCTAAACCGGAGCAGACCGATACGGTTGTACGGTTGATTAGACAAACCCGGGAAGGGGACGTTCTCCTTGAACTGGGTAAGTCGAAAGACAAGGCTGCTTTTACTGCCGAACTGAAGGCAGCTGTTGAAGGCCAGGGCACCGTCCGTGCTCTTGAGCCCAAGACATCAATTGAGGTTCGAGACATTGATTGTGTGTCGACGGAGAGTGACGTTGTTGAGGCCCTGAAGAAAGCTGTACCCGAGCTTGCCGGGCAAACGGCCATCCTAAGGGTTTGGCTCACAAAACCCAATAGGAGTCAGCAGCGGATGGCAATCGCCGAAATGGCAGACGCGCTTGCCACTAGGGTGCTGGCACTCCAGCATCTGAGAGTCGGCTGGGTCAACTGCAGGCTCAGACGAAGAGTGGAAGTGAAGAGGTGTTTTAAATGCCTCTGTTTCGGCCATTCCTCCCGAAACTGCAAGGGACCCGACCGAAGCAAGAACTGCCTTCGGTGCGGGGAGGTTGGTCACATCCGTAAGGACTGCAAAGTCGAGTCCTGTTTCCTTTGCAAAGAAAATGGGCTCGCTGACAAACACGTAAAGCATATAGCTGGATCTGGGCAGTGTAGTGTATTTAAAACTGCTCTACAGCAAGCGAAATCTCTCCCACGAAGATAAGAATCCTTCAGTGCAATCTGGAGCGATCCAGGACGGCTGACGCACTTCTTTGTCAGTTTGCCCTCGAACACGATGTCGACGCTCTCTTAATCAGCGAACAGTACCAGTATCGAGATAGGGACCCATCTTTATGGTTCCCTGATAGTCTTGGTACTGCTGCATTCTGGGCTCGTAATGCAGCTAAAGTACAAGTGCGGGGTCACGCGAATGGCCGAGGTTTCGTTTGGGTTCGGTGCAGGGATGTCACTTACTTCAGTGTCTACCTTACTCCCAACGAGGCCATCCGTGACTTTCGTGAGAAGATAGACCGCCTAGAAGAGAGCGTGCGCGATACCACCGGACACGTCGTCGTGGGTGGTGATTTTAATGCTAGGGCTGTCGAGTGGGGAATGACCCTCACCAACTCCCGGGGCAAGTATATTCTGGACTTTGCTGCCAGAGCCAGACTCGTTGTACTGAATGAGGGCAACACGCCAACTTTCCGCCGCCCTGGGATGCGGGGGACGATCCCAGACATTACCCTTGCATCTGAGTCCCTTTTGCCAAGGATCACAGCCTGGAGAGTCCTGGAGGATTACACGGGCAGTGACCACCAGTACATAATTTTTGACGTCCTGGATGGTCATCAGAGACAAGTGGCAGCGTTTCGTCAAGTGCCCGTTCGATGGAACATTAAAAAACTGGACGTGGCAAAATTCAATGGAGCCATCCTACGAAGAACGCCGGATATTCATCCCGCAACTGGCGTGCCTCACGCAGAGGCGTTAGTTGCATCCACGATGGAACTGATTGCCTCGGCCTGCGATGAATCTATGCCTCGCAGGAGATACCGGTGCAATAAGCGTCCTGTGTACTGGTGGACTGCCGAGATTGCGGAATTGCGACGAGCAGCATTGAGAGCCAGAAGACTTGCTACCAGGGCTAGAGAACCCCTAGACAGACGGCGTAAGTCGGATGCTTATAGGGCGGCTAGGAGGTATCTTCGTCGAGCCATCAATCGGAGTAAACGCAGTTGCTGGGATAAATTAAGGGACGATGTTGATTCCAACCCGTGGGGCCTGGGTTACAAACTTGTAACCAAGAAACTTGGAACCCGCTCTCCACCTTCCGTTATGGACAGGGTCACTATGGAGAGGATAGTCGAGTCCCTTTTCCCGGCTCACGCGTTGCGACCACTGCGGGATTTCGGAAGGGTGGACGACGTCCCACTTTTCAGCCCTGAAGAGCTGGTGGCGGCCGTCATATCCCTGAAGAACAACAAGGCTCCTGGTCCTGATGGGGTACCCGGTGAAGTCCTCAAGAAGGTTTTGACTACCAACCCCTTGATCCTTTTGAGCATGTACAACGCCTGCCTGGTCGAAGGGGTTTTCCCCTTGTGCTGGAAGACAGCTAGGCTTGTGCTTGTTGGGAAGGGCAAGGGAGACCCAGATCTGCCATCCTCTTACAGACCTCTGTGTATGTTGGATACGGCTGGCAAAGTCCTCGAGAAATTGATCCGTTCCCGGCTGAATTCAGCCGTTGTCGCTGCGGGGGACCTCTCCCCTCGTCAGTATGGATTCAGGACGGGGCGATCAACGATTGATGCGATTGAGGAGGTGAAGCAAGCAGTGATGAGAGCTGAGGATTTTAACCACTACTCTCGCAGGGTTGTGCTGCTCGTAACGCTCGATGTGCGAAATGCATTTAATTCGGCGAGGTGGTGCGATATGCTGGACGCTCTGGAGAACACCTTCCACGTGCCGGCATACCTCATGCGCATCATAGAGGATTATCTCCGGTTTCGCCTCCTAACGTATGACACTGCGGAGGGCCCGCGGACGATGAGTGTCACTTCTGGTGCTGCCCAAGGTTCCATACTCGGCCCAGACCTCTGGAACGTCGCTTATGACAGCCTTCTGAGGTCTGAAATGCCTGAGGAAACGGTCTTGGTTGGGTACGCAGACGACGTTGCAGCTTTGATAGCTGCACGTAGCGTTGAGCTGGCTCAGCTAAAGCTAAACCGAGTTATGCGTACCATAAACGCATGGATGGCAGACCACGGTCTCTCACTTGCTCTGAGCAAAACCGAGATTGTGATTTTGACAAACATACGGATTGACACCATCGTGCCGTTGAGGGTGGGAGCCGTCGAGGTTCAAACTGTTCGTTCTGCCAGGTATCTTGGGGTCATGGTAGACAGCAAGCTTAGCTGGCGGGATCAGATCTTCCGAACAGCGGACAAGGCCGCTAGGGTGGTTTCTTCTCTTAGCTGGTTGATGGCCAATGTCGGAGGGCCTCGGTCCAGTCGTAGAAGGCTGTTAATGTCTTCGGTCCAGTCCGTACTCTTGTACGGTGCGGAGGTGTGGGCAGACGCACTAAATAAGGAGGCATACAGGATGCGGCTCGCCCGAGTGCAGCGTCAGGCAGCACTGAGGGTAGCATCTGCCTACCGAACAGTGTCCGAGCCCGCCGTCCTGGTGATTGCTGGAGTCATCCCCGTCAAACTTTTGGCGGCGGAGAGAAAGGCAATTTACCGGCGCCGTGGGGAGGACGAGGCACGAAAAGAGGAACGCACCCGCACCTACCAGCTGTGGCAGGAGGGCTGGGAACAGGAGACACGGGGACTCTGGACCAGGCGACTGATACACAAGTCCAACCTTGGGTTGATCGGCGGTACGGAGAGGTGGACTTTTACCTCACCCAATTTCTGACGGGACACGGCTTTTTCCGGTCGTACCTGTTCAGGATGGGCAAAGCCGTGTCTCCCGACTGCATATACTGCCCAGGCATTCTCGATGACGTGGAACATACATTTTTCCACTGCCAGCGCTGGGAAAGGCCCCGCCTGGAGGCTCAACAGTTAATAGGACTGCTGTCGGTGGACACGGTCATACCGATTATGACGGAGGGTGAGGACAATTGGACCTGTGTGTCACATTATATCCAGGGTATCCTCCGCGCCAAGAAGATCGACCTTGACCGGGATGCGGTGTAGGTCATAAAGAATCAAAATGCCAGAAACGGTGCGAGCCCTGAGGGCTTAGGTCACATGTTGGCCTGACTTGAAGTAATGTGACAAACAATTCCAGGTCTGTGTCCAACAGAGTAGAGGGGGTTTTTTAGTGAGTAGTCTGATAATTTCAGGAGTCTCACACTACAGGCTGGCTACCTGTGTGCGTAAAAGCATTTTCCCTCCTCTCCCTAAAAAAAAAAAAAACTATCAAGGTAGGTGACTACTAGGCTTCTCCCCCTTCTACTTTGGGTTAGAACATTGGTCTTATTACATGCATTTTAACTGTATTTTAGAAATGTTAGGGATATATAGTATTTGATAATTTATTCTAAATGCATTACAATTTGTAACACTTTTTGATCCCTATAGTTTCTTCTAATACTTTAAAACCATTTTGGCCAATGTCTGTAAATCTTCAGATTCGATATCGCCTTATCTGAAACATCTTATGAATAAATATTTAACTATCTTTCTGGGTATTCACCTACTATTATCTTTTCAGAGCGGCAGATGACACACGAAGAAATGAGTCAAGAAATCAAAGAGAAGACAACAGGAGAAGAAATGAGTATGTATTTATTTTTTATTCATCTATTTTTCTAGAGTAGAATCCCGGTTAACCGAAATAAAGGGGGGAGAGCCGTTTCGGATAACCAATTTGTTGGATAATCCGTCATATGCTAAAATAGCCTATGTATTACCTCCGTGAGTTGGAAAATTGTATTTAAAACAAAATATTGTATTATTAAAGTAATACAATCAAATTTTATGTAAATTGTAAACGGCCATTAACCAAAAAAAAAATATGATAAATTATGACATTTATCATATTAATTACCGTATGATAAACATAACAACATTTCGTTTTTTTTATGTCACAATATGGCATATCAAAATGAAGCTTAGAGTGTGTAGATTTGCCGTCAAGCATCGGCATATATCTATCTATAATCCCACTTGGTGTATACGTAAATGAAATTTGCTCCCCATGTATTTCATATGGGAGTTAAATTTGGTTTCTCTTCGCTGAGTTCGTTTGACTCTTCTTCTACCTGACCGATTTTCATGATTGAGGTCTCAAAATGAAGGTATTGCATGCACAGATTTGCCATCAAGCATCGGCATATATTTATCTATAATTCCACTCTGCTTATACGTAAACAACATTTGCTCCCCATGTATTTCTTATGGGAGTTAAATTTGGTTTCTCTTTTCCCAGTTTGTTTGGCTCTTCTACCCGACTGATTTTTATCATTGAGGTCTCAAATTAAAGGTATGCACGCCAAGTTTTCACATCAAGCATCGGCAGATATTTACCTACTGTATTACTCTACCAAAACACATAATTTGATTTATTTCCAAATTCTTACTTTAATTTAATATGTATTTCACCAGTTAGAATTATAATCCTATATATTTTAGTCTAAGAACCTTCAGTCAAATACCGGATTTTGTTTAAGCTATTAGTTATTCAAATCGGGCAAGTTTCAAGCAAACGCAAGGTGAACAAGCAACATAAAAATTATTTTTCATAAGGTGTTTCTATGATTAAAAATGAATAGCTCCAGTATTTTTAATGTTTTTCCATATGTTTTAGACTCAAAATAATCAGTAAATTATGGGCTTTAAATTGAGCTATTGATCATTTGAATCAGTTAAGAGTCCTTGGAGGCTAGTGGCCATCTTGGATAATTTTAAACAGCTGCTGAAGAGTTAATTAACAACCAAAAATAGTTTTTCAAACACCAAAATGATCATAATGTAAATATCTTGTATACTATGAGATTAGAAATGTTGTTTGTTTTTTGAATGTATTTCCAAGGGAGTCCATGGAATCCAAAGGCCATCTTGGATTTGCCCCCCATAAGAGCAATGTTATTTTTGTTATTTTCAAACAGCCGCTGAAGAGTTAGTTATTTACCACCTCAACATATTTTTTCAAATACCAAAGTGATTTTAATTTAAATATCTAGTATACGGGATTTGAAATTTGCTTTGTAGTTTTTTCATTGTTTTATGAGCTAGAACGTCTAGGCTCCAAGGACTCTTAAGCTCAAGATACTGTATTACTCAATAAAAAATCATAAATTTGATTTCATTTCTCGGATATTATATTTATTTTAACGCTGCGGAGCAGCATGGGTCCTTTAGTTGATCTTAAAAAAAAACTTGAATTCAATACAACTAATTTACTTTATCGGGAAAACAGTATTTTAAGTTCTTAGAGCTTTTATTGTTTTTATGACCTTTACAAACTACCAACAAAGTTGATGATCTTGTTTCTTTTATTGACAGTGATGTGCCGTCAATAAAATCACTCTTTTGTCATATGACTTTTATTTAAGATAGTGAAAAACTGTTCATCGCCTGAAAGACGTATCCTTCTTTGTTTTCAAAATAAATACACCTACACCGCTCTACCCCTGCCGTTTTGTGTAAACGCAAGGGTCTAGGGGAACAGTGTTTCCGAAGTCTACACTTAGCATAGAATCAAAGTTAGGGTGGCATTTTGAAGAGGATTAAATTATCTAGATTGTTGTGGTTTAATATGTTTAGTATCATACCATAGAGCCAGAAAATCTTCTTTGAATGTAGACGAAAATCGGCAATTTTAAACTACTTTAACTCATTATAGAATTGTTACTTTAAAACTCTAAAACCAGGGTCCCATAGATTGTTCTTTGTTCTGTAAAACCCCACTCATTGTTTTTTACTAGCATGTATGGGTATTTTACAAAGACAGTTGCCGTGAACGTCTGCAAACGCTTCTCGCGGCGCTGTTCAATGGCGCAACATAGCTACTGAAGCCTGAGCTGAGATTTCCGAGCTGAGGTAGAGCGCACCCTTAAGGTGGCCTCCTCACCATCAGGTAAAAACAATGTCACATAGCCATTGGTCAAATGGTCATTGGCGGGATTTGATACCAAGCATTGAATCATTGAACCAAGCCTCTAGTACACAAGTTCTGCACTTTACCACAGAAAACGTACTACTATAACCCAGAATGCCAACCGCATGGTAAAAAGCATTAAGCGGTTTGAGAGAGCTTTGCCTGTCAATCCGTAGGCAGCGCCACCAGCGTTGCTATGCTATTGCATGGCAACGCTGGTGGCGCTGCCTACGGATTGACAGGCAAAGCTCTCTCAAACCGCTTAATGCTTTTTACCATGCGGTTGGCATAGTAGTATGTTTTCTGTGACTTTACCTACTAGTCCAGCCATTACTTACTGAGCTAACCCCTTGCTTTGTGTTCTTGGGTGGGTAAATTCAAGATTAAAAGAAACTGTTTTACTTAACTTAAATTATTTAAAAAATATGTCTAATATTTAATTCTTACTTTACAGATCTTCAGATTCAAGAGATCGAAGTAGTAAGTACGTTAAAGAACAAGAAAGTGAGAAAGAACCAGAATGGGGTAAAAAAGAGTTAAAAACAGAGAAAAAAGAAGGGGCCAAAAACGCTGCCAAGCCTGATTTTGGATTGTCAGGCAAACTTACAGAGGACACTAACACTTACAATGGAGTCGTGATCAAATACAGCGAACCTCCTGAGGCGAGGAAACCAAAGAGACGATGGCGTCTGTATCCGTTCAAGGGAGAAACGTCTTTGCCCGTGCTTCACATTCACCGTCAGAGTGCGTATCTCATGGGTAGGGATCGCAAAGTGGCGGACATTCCCATAGACCACCCTTCGTGCTCCAAGCAACACGCCGCCCTGCAGTATCGCCTCGTCCCGTTCACCAGAGCCGACGGGTCCAAGGGGAGACAAATTAAACTGTACGTCATCGACTTGGAGTCTGCTAATGGAACTTACCTCAACAACAATAAAATCGAGCCGAAAAAATATTATGAACTGAAGGAACGAGATGTGGTCAAATTCGGTTATAGTTCGAGAGAGTATGTTCTTCTTCATGAGCACAGTAAAGATTCGGAGGCTGACGATGATGTAAATAACGATGATTAGTATTTTGAAAATTAAATGTTGATTTTTCTAACTGTATATAATATTGTGGGCCATTGTAATTATACAATGATTATTTGTACAAACAAGTTTTATATACTGTACCTTTTCCTTTTAAATAACTTCTTGATCAGAACTTTTCCTTCTATAGTATATTTCATAAAGTTCAATCTGAAATTCTCTTTTCTTGTGAATGAAGCGATAAAAAAATTAATAGCTTAGTAAATATATGATTTTTATGTTCCATCTCATCTCTTTTAGATTTAACTGTTAGTTGTAACTGAATAAAAAAAAATAACAGTCCCATGAAAACTAAGGAAAATGAAACTTTTTAGTACTACTAAATGGAAATTATCTCAAGCTATGAGCCACCACAATTGCTATTGAGTGGAAATGTAATTGGCTAAATCAAATTATCAATTCAGGGTGTCCACATTCTGGAAAGTCAGGGTAAGTCATAGACAAAAATTCTGGTCATTGAAAGTCATGGAAATACCCAAATGATGGATGGATTTGAGGTCACTTTTCAATGGTCTAGTCGGCGGTAGCCCCGATTATTGTAGCATTTTTCAGGATTTTAAAAAAATGTTCGACAATTCAATTTATTACAGTTGTATTAGTTTATGAGTTTTGAGTTTGTATTAGTTCAATGCAATCTGTCCCCACTTTATCTTATGATTTAATTTAATATTTGTAGGATATTGTTGCAACAGTAGTGTATATTAAAATGCCACAACTTTATTATTACAACTCAAATTGCAATACAAATATTGTTATAATGTTTTGAGTTGTCTTAAGTCTTTTCTAAAAGTGAAGCTAAATTTTGTAAACACTGTAAACTCAATAAAAAATAAATTATAAAAAGTATATAGGAAAGAGAAAGAAAGTGGAGAGAGAACTTGGCCAGCTATGGGGACAGAGGAGGCTAGGTTTTCTTTTTTCCTTCCTTATTTTAAATACCATATTTTTTGCAAAATATATTACTCTCCATTGTTATCTGTTACATACTTACATATTTCAGTATTATCTGAGAAATAACTTGTCCAGGCAGTATTATTTGGATGTGTACGTTATATTATAATTTTTGAGTAAAGTTTGTGAATCATGGAAATCAATGGTAAATGGTCATGGAAAGTCATGGAAATTAATGACAAAGTCTCTGTGAACCTGCAATTATCTAGCAACTCGTAAAAAAATTGTTAGTCACTTAAACTGTTTGCATTGTTCATGCTTTACATAGCTTAATGTATTTTTTCCCCTGCATCCATAATTTTCTTTCCACTGATCAACTATAGGCCAAATAGTTCATTTCACCAATCAGCTGAATTCACTGTTGGCGTTTCTATAGAACACCAACAAACAAATAACATAATGTAAATAAAGATAACATAACCTAAATGACATTTTATATACAACTAAAAAGTTCATCTGTGTGTTATGATGAGTTTGGTGGTGGGAAAAATCTTGTGTATATTAGAGAACAAAGTCATTGCCGCTCTCAAAATGTATGGCCCCACTCAACTAAAGCTTGCCTATATGGCCATCTGCAGTTCTCGAGTCTTCTTTTTAATTGGAATGAGGTTGGAATAGAATAGAAACAATTAACTGTTATAATTCTAACAAAATTATATATTTCACGAATTTGAGCACATTATAACACATTAAGGCACCGAAGACAACTAACTTTTAGAAGTAAGTAACATCCTTAGATTGACTTTACCTTGTTATATATTGTTTTTGGCTCGGAAATAATTTGTACTCTTTCTCACTCTTATCGAGATATGCCATAAACATGACGTGATGTATTTTATACAAATAAATTTCAAAGTAAATACAAACAAATAATAATAACATTAACTTGTAAATCTTTGATTGTGATTTGTTATCTATCATATGCTTCAAATTTAAATTATTACAATAAACTACATAAAGTGAAAATAGTATACATATTTTGTTATAAATATAACTAATCAGACATATCTACATTATACTCTAGGTAGACAAAAACAACACTAACAAATAGGATATTAAACCTCTAAGTGGTGTGAATGACAAATTTTGTTCGTCAATCACAAAAAGATTGTCAATGATAATCAACAAATTGATTCATCGAATCCAAAAGTAAATCACATCAAACTTGAGAGAAATACTGATAATAACATAAGAATAACATTCTCATTAACTTACAACTAATTTAACAAGTAATAAATAAGAAATTATCTACATCAGTTTTATAAATGCAATCATCATATAAAACATACAAAATTCAGTTCATATTTGTCTACTGAGCACACCAATGAGTTGTACTATCACAGAAAGTTAAAATATTTAAGCATCACTAGGTTTTACAATAATTTGGTAATTCTAAAGCTATGATTTTGATTGAAAGTAAATTACAGGTTCTGTATACTTTAACATAGATTGTTTTGCATCTACCTACTTTCTTGAACAGAGAAAAATAAATAAACCAATAGGAAAAGTTACAAGTTTTTAAACATAACCAAATTCTTTTTATATTGTATTCAGCTGAAGCTGTGTTGTAAAGTGACTGTCTAATAATGGACCCATTGTTTTCAAAGACAGCCAATCTGGTATGGTAATTATAAGAACATCACTCACGTGTACGCCATTCAATCCTCCCAGGAATTTTACATAACGATATTCACAATATTTATCATATTTACAGAGCGTCTAGAATTGCACTAAAATCGTCAACGTTCACTTTGCACTACCTGTGAATGTCTTCATTGCTTATCGTGTTTTCACTTAAACTCTCAGCGATTGACAGCTGTTTAACAACATTGGTGTAAGGACTAGCTTTGGTCACAGGCAGCAACTTGTCCAAACTAGAAACCTCGTCTTCACTGACTGTCAGGCTCGTTTTTTCTGCGACATCGTTTAATGCACTCTGCTGCAACGGCCTCGGGATTTCGTAACCTTCGTCATAAATCAACTCTAGATATTTACGGGTGCCACCAGCATCTGTTTGCAATTGTTCTCCCTCGTTCCTCCATTCGTCTGAAAATATAAGTTGTCATAGTAAAATTAAGTTACAGCTAATATAAAGGTCTAAAACAATAATTGTAAAGCAAGCCTATATTAAAGTTTTTGTTTGGTGAGTGATGGTAAAAAATTTGAAAGATATCAAACAAAACGGTATACATAATATAAGAAGATTCAAAGTATTAAAGTATTTATAAGGTACTCTATTTTCCCATATTGTCACAACATCCTCACATTATATTGAAAGCATGATTTTTTCTCTTTAATTTTTTTATATTATTTTGCCTTCTACTTCCAAGATCCAAGAGTACCCAACTTTAATATTCTAAGCCCAAGTGTCTTTCTTCACGTACCTTTTTTATGTACAGTCTCTTGCACTTCTGGGATGCCCAATGCTTGCCCGTTTGCCGATTTCCTCTTGAGCTCCATCAGAACATCCAGGCAGTAGATGAACATCGGTCTCTCTTCTGGATTAAAACTCCAACAACGTAGCATAAGATCATACCTGGAACAACAAAGTAAAACTTTATTTCTAGAATTCTTTCCAGTACAAGTAAACTTGCTTTTATAATTCGGATGAGATTGTAAAAAAATGTATTTGATGTAACAAACTGATGATTAAGTAGAAAGCAGGTAGTAAACCTGCTAGAAAGTCCCTGTACACATTAAATTAAACAATTAGACATTTTTATAAGGTGGCATAAGAATTAGGAAGAGGAGTTGATAAGGCGCAAAAATAACTTACAACCTGATGGATGAAGAAATTTAAAACAATTGAACATCATTATTACACATAAAAGTTGCTAAAACCAAATCATTTTTTTTCAGTTTGGATTGGTTAAAAAGATTACGCGTTTGATAGGAACTGTCAATTCATATCAGCACACGCTGTTTTTGTCTAACATTTGTTTTAATTCTTCTGGCTGTAACTTTAATATGATGATGGAATGTCAAGTTCTATCTGTATTTACAAACCTAACTCTAAGGAGTTTTCACCTTCTGTAATTTGTCGCTTGCTAGAGGAAGATACGAAAGTACTCATCATATTGTACTTACGCCCCTTTGTCTACGGAGTGTTGAATAGTACTTACATCTCCTGGCAGCAGTTGGGTGGACACCCGAGACGTCCTCCGTTGCGCACGTAGTGTAACACCTCTAGGTTGTTGCGGGCCGGGTACGGCTGCTGTCCGAGAGACATGATCTCCCACAGGAGCACTCCAAATGCCCACACGTCTGACTGTGACGTAAACACTCCGTCTACCAGCGACTCTGGTGCCATCCACCTGACGATCAAGCACTTTGGTTACATCAATTGTCACAAAACAATATAGACCACTGTTTGAGTTGACTGACCGTAATATGCAATGGATGTAATATGGATAGGAGAGTTGAACTTTTTGCTTATCAGCATTTATCAAGTTAAAACATCTGTTATATAGATCGTTTGATGTACTGACATTATTATTCTAGAGGTTAAATACCTTCTAGAATAATATTGTTAAGTAATCCGGAAGGCAATACCTAAAAATGAAGTACTGACATTTTTAGGCCTAATCTGGATTGTTTAAAACGCTTTAGATTTACAGTGTTGGTCACATGGTTGATTTTGCTTTGAAATAGCCAAGAGCTGGAAGATTTGCTACAATGGTTAACTTTTAAAACATTACTTTGAGATTATTTTTATAGTGTTTGACCTACTTAAGCTTTTACAATTTGAGCACTTAGAAATTTGTCGCAGTAGTTGTTAACAATATTTAATAATTATTAAATTTTAAAAATGTACATTGCTAAGATATAAAATTTTGAGTGTAATAGTAGTGCTTCATCAGTATTTATTTATTTAATGTTTTGTCTTTTAAAACTTGATGAAACCCTAAAACATACTGCTAGTAGAAAAATTTTATAAAAGACTTTTTATTTTCAGATAATGATTGAGCAACATCTATCAAAGTTTTTTTTTATTTTATGATTATTGATTATTATTATTTATTATGATTTGAATATTATTATTTTTCTTTTATTATTATGATGATTACTGATATTGAAGTTCTAAGTTTATATAAAATATATATTTTAAAAGTTAAAATATTTTCTTAGTTGGAAACCTAAACAAACACTGTGTATACCTGACTGGAAGAAGACCCTCTCCCTCTTTCCTGTAGTAGTCGTGTTTGTAAATGTCCCTCGCCAGGCCAAAGTCGCCGATCTTGACGACACGTGTATGCGGGTCAGTGGAGGAGACGAGGCAGTTGCGACACGCCAAGTCTCTGTGAACAAAATGCATCTCCTCCAGGTACCTACAGCCACGGGCCACGTCCACACACATGGACAGTAAATCAGGCAGCGTTAGGCTGGACTCTGTTGTCTGCAAGAAGAGAACACAATCATTAAACTTTTATCCTGACAAAAATTAACATATCTATAAACCGTTATCTGATTTGATTTGGCATAAAAGCCAGGTAGAATTATCAAATTAATAAGTATACTTTTGTCCCATGAGTTGACTGTGTTTGAGGAAGTATACGTTTCAAGCAAATGTTGTGACTCCTTGAGAATCCCATATACAAAACTATTCCGTAAATGAAGGTCACCAACGAGCTCCTGTTGTTGCCAAACAAGCTAGTTAAAATCTGATACTACCGCTATTTGATTTATTTAATAGTCCCTGGTACTATTATTATAAAGGGCATTGTTGTCCTTCATCTCTATTGAAAGTCAATGCCAAGATAACGGATGTGTATGCAAAAAAAGTGTTTGGAATTTAAAAAAAAGCATTTTGAAGTTATCAAAAACAACTACTTTGATTCAAAATAATAAAAACAAACGCAAAGTCAACCAACTAGTCAGTTAACTCACAATAAGTGGGCGATGGGACCGCAAGTAGACCAGTAAGTCTCCTCCTTCCATCAGTTCCATGATGATGAAGAAGGTGTCAATGTCCAAACACACTCCCAGCAGCTGCAGAATGTTCTCATGTTTAAAGTTGCTCATCAGCTGAGCTTCCCTGAGGAACTCCAACTGCTCCTGTTGTGACGCTCCTTTACGGAGTGTCTGCGGGAGAAAACAGGAATTGTCAAGCAGGTTTTAAACTAAATGTGTTGAACTTTTCATTTATTTCGTCATCTTGCTATGTACCTATAGTTATTTGTGCAACAAGGGAGCAATTGACTCACTCGAGAGGAATACTTACTAGGAATGGTTTTTCGAGTGAGGCAATTGCACTTTGCACTCGAGTTGCACTTTATATTTTTCCTACAGTTACTAAAAACAAATAAATTGGTAAAGAAACATGACATATTTTTACACAGAAGTGAACTTTTAATATTAAATTTAATGATACAACAGTACAACAGCTGACCAGCTGATTTACAGCCAGTGCTGCCAACGTATTTTGCGCGCATAGGACCTTGTCTGCATGTTACGCGCTCACTATTTTGTGCCTTCACGTTGCAAATCTGGAGTGAGTGAGACAAAGTAATTAGAGTGAGACAATGTTAATAAACCAGAGAGAACATGTACATTGTTAGGTAACTGTAGGAAAAATGTATTTCCTTTAGAGATTTTCCTCTAGATAAATGGTTTTGGAGTGTGCTTTATCAGTTTCTCGTTTTTGAGTCTCAAGTTCTTTTTGTGTATTTTTGTACTTTTTATTACAGTATTTTTCCTTTTCTGATTTTTGTTTAGGTGTTAATTTTTTTCTAATATCTGTTCTTTTCATTTATGTATAGAAGTTTTCGGTTGGTATATTTTTTTGTGTGAATGATTTACTTTGAATTTAGTTTTTGATAAAACAAGCTAGAAGCCTTGGGGGATTATGACAAAACCATATTACACCGATTTTTTAAATATTTGATAGTGTAAGTGATTTGTAAATAAGGTGGCTGATATACTAAAATTTTCGCCTAATAATCTGAGAGTTTCCTCAAAAGTATGATTAATATAATCTAATTCTTCAATCACTGACTCAAATTTTCCTTGAGTTCTCTTTTTTGTGTCAGCATGAACACAGTCAACAAATAAAATGTATTACATCAAAGAGCCAAATAGGAAACATTTGACAAGCTGTTTAATCCTTAGATTTATGAAAGGTTTTTATTTTAACTCTACCAAAGTATTGATCAATACGCAATTACCTTTACTGCTACTCTAGTTTCCCTTCCGTCCGTTCCTGGTAGATTCTTTGCTTTTCCTTCAAACACTTCTCCAAACGCTCCACTACCAAGGAACTTTGTTGGTGTGATGTGCTCTCTCCGGATGTGAGGCAACAACGCTATCTCACTATCAGTCGGGATGAAGTCTGCCGCAGTGTACAAGGCGTTTATGTTCTGCACAAAGTTTGGTCGTCTCGGCAGTTCCCTCAGGTTGGCTAACTCGACATCTGTGTTTCCCGGCATGTGTATGTTGGAATTCATGTTCAACAGTTGTTGAGTCTTCTTCTCTTTCTCTCTCTTTGTGAAGACAGCTGGATAATATGAAGACAGTTTGTTATACTGCTAGGGTGAATATTGTAAAGTAGCGGATGTCAAAATGAAGTTAAAATGGTAATAAAACAAATTACCTGTGCAACAGATGAACCTTAAAAACAAACCTTTTTACAATAAACCATTAAGCAAAAGATTTGAGTATAATTTACATTTTTGAGCAAGGGAATCGTCATAACAGGTATATGTTTTATGTTTTCTGGAACAAGTTCTGACACTAATAATCAGCAACACATTTTGTAGGATTGAAAACATTTTTTGCCTCTGATCATAGAGGAATGAAACTGGATTTTTCTTAAAATCAAATATTTCATATTGTCCATAAAGAATCGTGACTTACTGCACATCAGGCACATGAGTGTGAGGATGAGCCCAAGGACTGCCAGAGGTGTCAGGACCCACACAATGACTCCAAGTTCCTGCGAAGGCAACATGGCCGCTCGGTTGAGAGAGAACCACTCGCTCGGCTCACTCAACTCACTCCAGCCATACGTGTTCCTGGCCTTCACTCGGAACTGGTACTTCATGAAGGAACTCAGCTCTGCCATGATCCAGTACGGTTCTGGAAATTATTGGGATGTTGAGTCTTCAATGATCTTTTTACAATACGTTTACATTAATGTTTCAATAGATAAACATGTTTCAACAGTGGCTGGTTCACAAAAGCAAAAGATGACAAGACTACATTTGAAGAGAAAATAGCGTACCTACTTACCTTCTGTTTTTAAAATTACCTTCAAACCCAGTTGCTTTGTTACTTACCATCTACTAAATGGTACTTAAAAGAATACAATTGATAATTTAGTTATCAAAACACAAAAAAACTACTGTCCTCACATACTTTGAGATAAAAGAACATCCATTACAAGAAATTAATATACTGTTCGAAAAAAAAACATAACATGAAGCATAAATAGGGTAGCAATCTAGGAAATCCAAAGGAAAATTTACACATTTGCTATGGTTTGGTGGCTAACTTCATGAGCAATGAATCCATAAAGAACCGATTACCTGATAAATTTACTGTTCAAAATTTACAATGGAGTTCAGATCAATCACTTTCAAAATGCAGATGACCAAATGTTTACCACTTTACTGGCATACAGAATTACTTTTTACTTGTGTATCTTACAACTACTTAGTTAAAATTTTCTTGGGAAACACCGCACAAAAATATCAACTACTCCCTCAGAACTTACTGGATCCATTGTAGTACAAGACCCAGTCCTCGTTAGGGCTGTGCCGCTCGCCTGATGAGAAGTTTGCCTCTCGTTTTTCCCTCACGCCTTCGTCCGTTCGCCCCTCCAGCCAGTACATGTCGACCTTTGCGCCGTTGTCAGTCAGCGGTTCATCCCAGACCACCTGGTTAACATTGCCTCTCAGCTGATGCAGTATTGGTGACCCAGGTCTGCTGGGGCGGTCACCTTCAAAGACAACAACATTTTTAATTTTCTGTAAAGAAATGTCGTGTAGTTGGAAAACTTAATATTTTGCTAAGTTATTGCAAACATTTTCTAACACAAAGTGGTTTCATTTGAGCAACCATTTTGTGTGACATGTTTATGGTTTGTTTTTACCCTGCATTTGTACTAAACTAATTATAGTTTTATCTCAAACTTTTATCTCAATTTTTGTTTTGGTGCTACTATGTTTTGTTACTATTGTTTTGTTTTTGTTTACTATGTTTTGGTTCTGTGTGGGGTATTTCTTCAGTAGTTTTCCAGCTTTGGCTAGGTCCAACTTCAACCAAAGGATTCTGGTAGTATTTTTCAGTTTTTCAGTGGAAGTATAAGATTCATGGAACTATATCAATGATTGATAACATTATTTCATTTTAATCAATACCTCCGGAGCCCAAATAAACTGATTCCGTTGCTGGTGAATAGAGAAAGCCTATACTATAGAGTAAGTGCCTATACTACCACTAGTTGATGGGGTGTTAGTAGTTAGTAGATGTGTAGATAGTAGATAGATAGTTAATGGAGTAGATATAGAGTAGTATAGTACAGATCCTGAATTTTGATTTAAGTTCACTCAAGATATGTGTTTGTGTATTATAGAAATACCAACTGCTACTACTTCCTTAGGATCATTGAAATTGTGAAGTTGAAAATTGTTATTTGTTTATGAGTTGTAAATTAGAGATTGTAATTTCTAAGTATGTAAGATAATTGTGCTTACCCAAAGTTTCAAATGTAAAACGGTAGTCAGACGGCCAGATGTAGGGAGTGCTCACATTCGTGTATGTAATTTTGAGATGGAATGAATACAGTGTTTTCGGAGTCAAATTTTCTAAAATGTAAAACTCTGCCGTTGAGGAAGAGCTGTGCAGAGGTACGGGAACCCAAATTTGGCTTCTTAGATAGCAGCTTTCCAGTTCACTCCTGAACAATACACAGCACATTACTTCCATTTTGTACAGACATAAAGACTTAATTTATAATCATAGGATTTTCTAATACGGGCATTTCTTGCTTGGTTTCAAAAAGGATGAATTCACCCACAGTTGTTTTTATTTTAATCTGATGATCCAAAATAAATTTCATAACAATAAATTAATTGCTTTAGTAGTTTGACCTTATAAGAGTTTCTTGATTGACAAGTAAAGAATTCTGAAGATTGCATATTATCTATGCATATTATATACATCTATTTTTGACCATAATATAAATACATATTTTATAATTTTTTTATGATTATAATTATATATGAATGAATACATTTTAATATTTTTTTAATATTAATAATACATATATAATAATATTATAGGAAGGATAATATGCAAAGAATTGACAAGATTCTGTCGTGTCCGCCGTGTAACCTGCGTCAGTTTGTCCCGTGTTAAATGTGGCCGGCCTATCAATCGTCTTATATGTTCCGTAACTTGTGTTTTGTAAATAATAAACTTTATGTGTTAACCTGTATTTATATATAATGATGAAGACTTCCGTCGAATTTTTGACCAGCTTCTACATGATGTTTTGAAAAAGGATTTGACAATGGGTCTTTGTACCCGAAACTAGTCATCCATTGACTAAAATAAGACTGAAGATGGACCAATAAGGTACGTAACCTATTATATATTCGAATATCAGTCTTGGTGGCAAAGATGTTTAAAGTAAAGAATTATATCTCTAATTTTTTTTATATTTTAATACTCATTCTAAGAAGTAAAATAGGATGAAAATTTAAACAATTGTCATCACTGTAGGCCTATGTTGTTTTATTGATTAATCAAGATGTGGATTGCTGGACTCAGAGGCCATTATCAATTATCAATCATTTGTCAAAGGGCTATTGATTAATGTAATTTACAACATCAGGTCAATATAAAATGGTCATAAGACCAAAGTTTGGTCTCCTCCTTTAGAAAAAAAGTGTAAAATGGCAATATGGTTGGTATAAAAATAATAGTACTTACGAGACATACGAGTAGTTGATATACTTGGGCCAGGACACGTTGAGTGATGTGGCTGTTGCAGCTTCCAAGACGATGTCCTCCGGGTCGGGGAAGGTCGATGCGATCATTTCAACAGTGTTTGAGTACTGTCTGTGGTCTTCTGTCTTGGCTCGCACCTAGGAGTGGAATTGCATGAGATGGGGTCTGACGCAAAACCAGGAGTATAGTAGTTCTCTCCTTATATAAAAACAGTATTTTCTCTTCTCTTGTTAAAATCCAACTCTAAAAGCCTTCTGTCACTGGTTTTGTGACTCCACCATGGCACAAAACTATGTATACAAATATTTTCAACATAAATTCATTATTCAAATTACCCGTCAATTGTCCAAACCAACAAAATTATAAGTACTTGAATCAAATTTGTTAATTTCGTAGTAAATCACTCACCCCTAGAACATATTCTTGTCCGGGGCTTAGATCAAAGATGTCTGCCCATTTGATGGTCAAGTTGTCATTTAAACTTTCACTGCGCAACTCCCCGTTCTGGTGGTACATCCCTTCGACTTCTCCCTCCACCCTCCTACGCCAAAACACCTGGTAGCTGACAAACTCCACTGTCGAGGGGTTCCACAAGATCCTCAAGGCGGTGGGGCTCAACGGTATCACAGAAACGTTCTGTGGTGGCGATATTTCTGAAACAAGATGGATTAGATTTATTATTTATTCTATTTTGTTAGATTAAGCAATACAGTAGACTCCCTCTTATCCGGACTCCTCGGGACCGAGGCCAGTCCGGATAATGGTTTTTCTGGTTAAACCAACCTCCCCAAAAACTCGTTAAAACGGACCGTTTACTGTGGTATTCGACAGGAGAGCATTGTATTTAGACACGTGATCACTGGTCTCAAATCTTTCCCACGAGAACACTCGTTTCAGTACCACCCACTTCCTGCCGATCTAGTCCAGTTAAACCAATGTACTGGTAAATATTGTCCGGTTAAAGAGATGTCATTTTCGCTGAGTGTTTTGTCCAGCTAAAAGGTGTCCGGATAAGAGGGAAGTCTACTGTATGCTACCAACTTATACTACGTGTGTAAGAAGAGAGGTGAAGTGCCAGAATTTCAATAAAATGCTAACAATTTACAAAATTGCAAAAAACTAAGTATTTTTAGTGATCTATTTTGGATGCGTCCAAAAGTTTAGTAAGCACTACTGTAGCTAGGATTAACTAAACAAAAATTAATGTAAAAATTTGTTTGGAAATAAATTGATTCCTCATCTTTCTATTTGTATTTACATAGATTTATTTTATGAGATTTTTATAAACACAGTGGTGTAGTGGTGCAGGAACGGCGTTCCCACTCTGCTTTTTCCAAAGAACCAACATTTTGGGTAAGCGAACTGTATTTTTCTGTGAAAATAGTGAGCATTCCCACACTGGAATATTTAAGACTACACCACTGTATAAACACTACTGGGATTGAATAAGGTAACACATAATGTAATGAGTATCAAAAGCTAATTCGGAAAATGCGTCCACAAAGACTCAAGATCTGTGCATTTGTGACAGTTACAGAAAAAAACAGAGAATAAAAAATGACATGAATAACTTGGTAGCGCAGAGAGAAAAAGACATAAATAAATTGAAATTAAATTAAGGAAAACAAAACAGTGGAGGCCCTTTACTCCAAGATGTTTTGACAGAATAATGTAATTTATAGCTTCATCAATTGAGAACACAAGAGACACCTTCAAACCAGTTCAACTTACCAGCAGAAAGTGTTCTGAATGACACTGGTTCACTCAATGTGTCCTCACTTCCCTGGAGCTCGCTGTAGTGATTGCTGAACGTCAAGAAGAATGTGTACTCCGTTAGCTCTTGGAGTCCTTCAATAGTGACTATACGATCGAAACTTTCCTGTAGAGTGAGAAAAATACGAGTTATCAACAGAGATTTCGACAAGATGTTTATTTATCAAATGATTTTAGATGGTTGGTTTAAAAATGCACTTAAGTCATGCAGAAAAGCCACAAATCTTTTCCAGTTTTTGTCTTGTAACTTATCTGAGGACCATTATTATTTAAAAAAAAATGTGGATCCAAATATACTTTGTATAGAAGTGTTTCAATGAACATTACGTTTCCTGAAAACATTTTTTTCCCAAATCATATACTCAGTCTTAATTTTTTTACAATTAGATCAAATACACACTTACTACAAATTGTTCACATTACCTGTTCTGTGTTTAATTTTACTATTTTATAAGTTTTGAGCAGTTAATTATCAACTTCATTAAGTCCATCTAACTAAAGTTAACTATCCGAGCTTTAACGTAATTCCGTTCATCGAGTCCAATATTGATAACAGCTATCACATTTTATTTCCTCAAAATTTACTACTCATATCTCAGAGCCAAAGACACTTAAAAACAACAAAACTACAAACTCAAGTCACCCACCACTTTCCCGCACATCTTTATGTCCTCTAAGCATGAAGGAGATGCATCACTGGGGCCGTAGAAGACGGTGAAAAGGACCGTTGCGAGAGAGACGTTTCCACAATCTCTCTCTCGCTCGGGCAGAGGCAGTTCCAGAGTGATAGTCTGATCTGTGCGGTTCACCAGTTGAGGTACGGCAGTCGTCTGCTTGGGCGTGAGACAATGGACAACTGGAAACACATTTACGATTGTTACTCAACTCACCAAAAAGAGAATACATTGTTTAGGTTTTGTAGAAGTGGTGCCATACAGAAGTGTTAAAAATCCAATTCCTGTATTACAAGGACAAACATTTTAAAGTGGCCGAACCATCGTTAGCCGATGTGATTGTTGAATTGAATATCAGTAATTTAAATCAGTGACTCTAGAATAGGGGATGTTTTAAGAGTGTTTAACCAAGGCTATGTTAATTGTAACAAATACTACTAAAAACCACAATTTTTAGTCTTAGCCTGTATTTCATTTCTATAAAGATTGCACCTTATTGTTAACAAGGTAGAAGCTAAATGGGACAACAATTTTTTTTATGTAGGGTTAAGTTTTATCTGTCTGTGTGATATATTAATTATACGTTCTTCCTAACTACAAGGACAACATAGTATAAATATGTTTTCTGAAGAATAATTTAAATTAATTCATTCATTTTTTGAATAGGACTTTTTTTAAATGTCATTAAGATAAGAACTAGCATACTTGGGAAAATTAAAGTACATGAGCCTAGATACATAATAACAGGTCACATAACACTGATATTTCACAGAATATTATTTCTTCACAGAGTTGATTGAATTAATCAAATCACTTGTCACTCTTCCCAGTTACCCAAAAATGGCCGAAATAGTAAAGAAGTAGTGAAGTTTTAGTTTGACATGAGTTTTAAGATGGTTAGAGGAGAAAATAAAACTGAAGAAAATAAAGTTTTTAAACTCATCTTGTTTTGTAATAAATATTTAACGTCATGTAGGAGTGAATCGTTTACCTGGGTAAGGCTGTAGGTGGGAACCGACGGCTGCTATGTTGCGTACTCCTGTAGCGTTGATGGATGACACTCCTCCGACCAGACTGGCCATCATCGAGTTGTCAGAAGCCTTGACTACAGAGTAGATCCTCCCTTCAGAGGCGTTGGACCAATACACCAGACGATGATCTACTGTCATTGAGGTGGGAGGTAGGCCTGAACACAATATTGTTAGGTAAGATGGAGTATGTTTAAGTGTTAGAATGAAGTCTATATATAGAAGTGGTGAGTAAAGGTTTTACCTGTTGAGTACCTATTGAGAAAATCTGTGGACCAATAAAAAGATAATAAAACTCAAACATGGTGGGGAACAAAGGAATCTGTTACAAACGATAAAGCAAACAACAAGGCCAAAAAGGCAAAAAATAGGTTTTACAAATGGTTTGAATTTGACTTATAATAAGTTAGCTTTGAGAAAAAATTTGGAAGGAAATCAAAAGAAATTTATTTTATCTCATTCGATTTTGCATATGTGCCATGTAAACAAAAAAGTCAGAACCTGATATCTGAAGTTTTGTAATTGTTCAAATCCCATGTTTGGTTTGGAAACCCACCCTTTCATCTTTACTTTAAAATCTAATGGTTTTTAAATTCAAACAAAGATCCAGTCCTGAGGTTTCCAAATAAAAGAGATTCTTCTGTCTAATTACTAACCACCCTCTTTTGAATAACCAAACTTAATCCAAATGTAGTATATACTTAGTCATAAATCTAGAGCGATGATTGGTACTGACCAGCTGCAGATACGAAGGAAGTGTTGACAAGCATGTTACAAGAACAGCCGTCCATATCTGATGCTACAATGTGATTGGTCCACGCGTCAACAAACAGCAGCTGTGGAGAGTCAGGTTCTGATTGGTCGATGGCAATGGCAGCGCCCACGTCAGGAGCGTCAGGACAGTTACATGCATTACGGGTCCATCTAACACATACATATAGTAATTTAGGAACTACGTTACAGCTTTTAGTGGAGGGAGATCTACAATACAGATACAGTTCTCTGTATGAAATCAAAATATAAATATGTACAAGGTCTATCCTCAGCTTAAGGTTTCCATCCAACTACTTTGGTAACAATGCGAGAATCCTGCTAGGGAGGTTTTGTATTTACAGTACAACCCTGTTTATCCGTCCCCCGTCACCAACATCGTCGGAACAGTGAAAGGTCTTATTATCCGAGAAGCATATTAAATGACAAAATTAATTGTTTTTGCTGACATTTAATGATCCCACAGGATCGTGGAAGACGATAATAATGTTCCCGCAGGAGAGGTTTAATAACTTGTTACGATCGCGGGAGACATTGTGATGTTTCCTTTACCGCAGCAGATATTTAGGAGGTTATTGCCGCAATCGCAGATAATGATGGTTTCCGTGACTGTTGGAGACAATTTTAATGTCCCATGACCGTTGGATTTATCTAGGATTATTCCATGATCGTAGAAGACAATGATAATATTCCCATGTCCTTGGGAGACGATCAATAGTTTGTCACGTTGCGGAGGATGAATAAATGTTTCCGGGATCCTGGGGGGATTATCTGGATTTTTGCCGCTGTTGTTGGAGATGGTGATGGTCTCCCCATGCATGACCTTGACACAATAGTACCACAATAAAATTTTCATCAATATGAGATGGCAAGGTCGGATTAAGCAAGGAATCATAGCCAAGGTAGGATTAGTGGCTTTTTACCGTAGCTTTCTTTGAACATGAGTTTGGTAGAAACTAGAAATAGACCTTAATTTACAGAAAGGCCTCGTGTGCATACCATATCAGTTATACTGTGACTATTTTAATTGTAACAGTGTTACATAACTTTAAATGTAATGAAGAAAATGTATGATCATTGACAGTTTATGAACTTTACAAAATGTTAGCAAACGTACCTCCTCTGTTCGGAGAAACTAAATAAAGTATCATGGAGTTAAAATTCATTATGAATAATGGCTTCAGTATTTACTACAAGTAAAACTATGAAGTACATGTTCCAATTATGAAATGAAAAATGTCTTTATTTAAGAGGCGAAGTAGAAGTATTTAAGAATTATGGTACCTGGAAACTGTTAGGCTAGTTGGGAAGAAAGGACGTATTTCAGAACCATCTGTCCTACTTCTCATTAGACTTCCTATACCATGTAGTCTTTCCTCCACCCAGTACAGCATACTGAAAAATATGAGCTTAGTATGTACGAATACTGAAAACTAGAGTTTAATACAATTTAACCTCAACAGAGTCATACATTTTTTAATTTGTCTGTCAAATGATTGTTCACCTTCATTTTCAAAGTTATAATAAAAAGCTTTTTCTCAAATCTGATTGAACTATAAATTTGGTGTTTTCAATTTATAGTTTTGTACTTTGTTGCTGAAGAAGGCAAAACAAATTTTTATGGACATGAATTAACATCTAAGTCTTTAATAATAAAACTAGTTTAAGTTATTATAGACATATTTTTTAGTGTTTTAACATGAATATTAGTAGTTAATGTTCCCTAACAGTACACAGTATTCCCAACAACCTTTTCAAACAATTATATTTACATGCAAAATAACATTTAGTTTTATAATAACTATTTTTGTACCGTATGCCAAATATAAATAACATTAAGATTAAAACATTTTTTAATATTTCAAAAACAGCTTGTACTTCTAGTATATCATGGCACAATGTAGCTGAAGTTCCTACCCAATCAAATATGAACAGTGTTAGGGTACCTGGTGAGAGGATGGACCTGGAGTTTGACGACGGGAGCAGGACGGGAGAGTACAACACGCTGTGTCGGCCGCTCAGTGTTGAGGTCGAGCGAGTGTATGACAGACGCTCTACTGTTGTAACTACGCTCGGCCCAGTACAGGAATCTTCCCACCCAGTCTACAGCTAGACTCAGTCCTGTGTTGTTGAGGCTCAGCAACTGAACAGAATGGCACAAACTAAAGATGTTGATAAGATATTTTGTTATTTAAGGAGTTACTGAGGAATTTTTAAATCACGCTTGAAAAGAAAAAGTTTTTAAGATTTTTTGGGATCTGGGATTTAATTAAACCACTACACAGAGTACTGTGTAGAAGCCAAAACAAAAACAATCCTGAAGGAAAACAACATTTAGTACAAATGATGGATAGGGAAACACAACGGACACTTCTGTGCAAGATGTTAGTACAATCTGGACTGTTGTATATGCTGGTATCTGGGAGTGCTCAATATTCAACTCAGATCGGTTCTTAGAAACATATTACATATTATGTTGAAGGTTCGATACCAGCATTAACACTGTTTCCTTTCAAAATGTCCAAAAACCGTTACAAGCCATTCAGATCTTTCCCTCACCTTTGTCTTCTCCGGAGTATACAGCCGAGATGTGACTAGATGGTTGTTGTCGTCTATCCAGTACACTCGGTCATCATGGCTAGAGTACGCTAGGTCCACGACAGCACCGCTGCGAGACAACGTCTGGTTCTCACGTTTGTCACAGTCTGTGATCTGCACGGCGTCGCCAGTAGAGAGCAGCAGCCGAGGCACTGGTGTCTCAATACCAGAGTCTCCAAAAACTGGTGGTGTGAACGACCCGCAGCCTACCTCTGTGCAAGCAGCTGCCTGTGGGACGTCAAATAGTTTAGAATAATTCATTGCTATACGCAAAGTCTGTGTTGTAGTCGTGTAAGGTGTATATTTAAGGTATCAATCATAGCTATTTTTTAGGCTTGATATGATTTTAAATGTGACACTGTCTATTACATGTATAGGTTTAATGACAATAACCAATTCTATACTTTTCTAAGGGAAAGTGGCACATTATCACATTATATTATCGTGATGTGAATGAAGGAATAGTGAACAATTATACAGTACAATTAATTATCGAATTTGTAATTTTGAAGTATACATCCAATCTATAGTCCAGCAAGAACAGTTGAATGAGCCACTCACAGTGCTTGTAGTTGGATCAACTCAAATTGTGCCACAGTCTAAAATTATTGTTTCCCCGTAGTTTCTGTAATAATTTGTTATATAGAAGATAGACATAGTTTATCATAAGATCTCATTTCAGTTTTACTTGATTAGAAATTAGTGTATTCAATAGAAATCAGTGGGTGCAATGCAAGGCTTATACAGGAAGAAACTTGGAGAAATCAACATGTTTTACCTTAATTTTTGTTTTTCTTGAATCACTTCAACATGTGAATTAAGTAAAATGTTATTGATTCCTACCTTCTACATGTTGATAATGATCGTTCTGTAGATGAGGTTACAAAAACACCAGACAGGATCCAGGTAATTGTCTTTCATTCTCTAGTCTATTTTAAAAGTGGTGGAGCCTCATGTCCAAAGCTTATAGTCACATGTTGCTTGAAGTTGACAGTATTTATTAGTCAGCATTAAGTTAAGCTCAATAGGACAAGCACTGAATCAAAGAGTATTTCTATTGATCCATGGCGTACCTTAAAGTAAATGGTGGTATTTTGAGGCAGGTTTGGAACTACATATTCCAGGGTTGAGGCAGGCAGTTCTGTGTTGTCACACACCTGGAAGTCTGAACCATCCAACCAACACTTGACCTGGTACTTGACCACAACACCGTTGGGCGACACCGGCGAGTCCCATCGGAACACGGCGATGATCTCCTGGAAGCGAGAACAATCAAATATGACTAGAAGAATCGGTGTCTAAATAGTGTGAGGAAGAAATGGCTGTTGAGTTAATTTAAGAGCAACTTAATATTACACATGGATTATTGTGTAAGTTTTATAAATTGGGTCAAAGTTTTTTAAGACCAGTGTTTGGTAAAACTTGTTAAGAGCAATTTTTAAACAGCTTTTGGTATGGATACAAATACTTGAAAGATAGCATTGTTTTTTTGAAGAGGTTAGCAAAATGATTTTTTTCATCAGCTCTAAGCCGCATTACATAGCAATCCATTAAAATTTGTAATTGACAGGATTTAAACTGGATCCCATGTTTCCTGAGTGTCATACTACCACTACTCTGTACCTCAGGACTTTTTTGAAAGAGGTCAGCAGCCTCTTTTAACCTTGCATTTGCCCGTTTACATAGAATAACTGCCTGTGCGTGGATCGTATACAGCAAAGGAAGGAGTGGGCCGGTACGGTATGAAGGTGATCTGTACTGATAAAATGTTTTTGGCAGTGACCAGGATCCGAACCCACGACATCGCTGCCTTGGGCCTGAAGTCAGTGACGCTACCAACTGAGCCACAGACTCACTAAAATTGTTAGACGTACTTTTGCATCAAACTAACAATTTAAAACACAAGGATATGCTCACTCTGTTCTCCTTGACTGGGTTCCTGTTGTAGGACACAAAGACTCGGGGGTTGGTGGGAGGGGAGGGTATAGAAGGAGGAGAGTGGAGAAGCGCCCTAGCAGACGATGAGGCTCCCCAGTAGGTCAGTGCTCGCACACTCACAAACAGTGGAGAGTATGGCACCAACTCACTCGGACTCTCGTAAACCCAGAAAGGCTCTGTCGTCTCTCTCTGTAACAAAGTCGTAAATAAAAATGTCTTGTGTCTTATAGCTTTCTTATTAATTCCTTTAAGCCCCTTACAATCACTCATTTGTCATTTATTCATTGTCATTCTTTGTAACCGAGTCGTAAATTGTTTATCTACAATTAGTTATAGTCTATGGTTCAGGCATCTTAAGAGTCCTTGGAGCCTAGACGTTCTAGCTTGTAAAACAATTAAAAACAACAACAAAAAAGTCTAATCTCACAGTTTACTAGATATTTAAATTACAATTACTCTGGTGTTTGAAAAAATATATTGAGGTAGAATATTGCCTTTATATTGCCTTTACTAGCTGCTTTCTGGTGATTTTTGAAAAATATGCCTCAGTATAAAGAGCTCAGGACAAGCTGAGTGTTCTATAATAAACTTCTTTTGATACGATCAGGCATATTCAAATTAATTTAATAATGTTTAATTAACTCACCAATTACAGTTACACTGGCAGATAAACTAGTTTTACTCTAAACATTAGTCAGAGACTTGCACTTACTGTTATGTCTTTCTTGTTCAGGTTTCTGATTTTGATTTCATAAAAGACTTGACCATAGTTGACGTTGGTGACCGGATCCCACAGTATTGTAAACTCTTCAAAACCTCCTTCAACTCTCAATGACTGTTGAGATATCGGCTGTGGAATGACGCTCACTTCTGACAATTTTCTTCCTCCTAATAAACATGAAATATTTTTACCTCAAGGTGTTTGAAAAAATTTCTGAGAATAAAATTCAACTGAATTTAAGTCAAGGGAACTGCCTGTGTAAAGCAGGTAGTAACTAGCTTCATTTGTGTAATTTCTTTAAATGACATACTTTGTAAGAGAATCTATAATAACTGATAAATTTTATAAAGACAATAAGATGCAACCACAGCTGATTCTTGAATTACAATCAGCTGATTTAATAGCTGAACCGAGACAAAAATCACAGTGTAATAAAGAAAATAATGAGACAAGTCTACTGCCCATCAGGAATATACTGTGTGTACCTATATATAAAATTGTATGACTTTGCCATAAACCATATAGCAAATGTAATGGTGAAATTGACAATAAAGAGATACAGATTCTGAACTCACTTGGGGCGTAGTGCAGAGCGTGATCCATGATAGTCACCATGTTCAGCTCAGAGAGACTAAGGCCACTGAGGACTGCAGAGTTCTGTCCCTGCATGTCTCCTATGACTGCGTAGCGATCATCTCTCAACCACACTAGATGATTGTCGAAGTAACATAGAGGTCCTGCAATGTCATGGAACAGATTGTTAGAACTATTTACCAGCCAAAAAATATCTGACACTAAAACATTGGCTTATCACTTTGTTTACTTGAATTCCCTATCAATGCAAAAATAATGGTTCATTATAAAATAAAATTATCTTATATCTGAAACACTCCTTATGAAAGTGTCGTAACCTGTCTAGGCAACTTATTAGAAAGCTTACAGGAAATCATGATCACAAAATATCTGTTTTGTGGAATTTAAACTTTTTTTTTAACTTCATTGCCCATTAAATAACCTACCTTGCATGTTGGGGTACTGTAAACTGGACACTTTCTGAGGCTCGATTTCTTCTCCATGTTTCAGTCTGTCTGCTGTAGCAGCTCGAAAAAGTGAGGATCCTTCGTAACTTCTCACGATCCAAAAAACCGACCGAGTATCCATGTCAATCGTAAGACCCATAACTGAAAAATGAAGATAGTAAACAATGGATTCTGAACATCTACAGGCAAATATATTTCCAACAGTATGCATAGATTTTCCCTGCGATGCACAGGAGCTGAGAAAAAAGGTTTTTAATAAACATGCTTGTCTATTAATATATAGAATTAGCCCCATGTTAAATCTCCATATGAAAAGTTTAATTTCCATTTTTGACCCAATTAACATAAATATTTCCAAAATAAAAATAAAACCTGCTCATATAGGACCGACTTTCATTTGAATATTTAATACAACCCACGTGTAATTTGGTCCAGCAGTATAGTCAGGCTAGCTGTCATAAGCTTCAATTTTTTGCCCTATTTTAAATCTCCATAAGAAAAGTTTATTTTTATATTGGTTCCTAGAGGTAGCCCCGTGGTCAAACCAATGTGGAATGTTTACTCGATCAAAAATATGTAATGTACAGACTTCTCTATTTTCCACCCCACACTGTAAATAAACATGTGATTGGAATTTGTTTGGATTTTCTGTTAATATTTTGCTATAATTTTGTCACCATCGGTAACCCATAAGGCCCATGTTATTTTTTTTTTAATTTCAAATTCATTTTTCGTGTTTATTTTTGAGCCTATTTTAATTTACAAAGGGATTCAGCACATCTACTGGCAAATATCTTTCATTTGGTACCAACCGCGTGTAATTCGGTCAAGTAGTATGGCCAGGCTAGCTGTCATAAGATTCGTAACAGTTTTTTAGTATATAAGAATATATTTACTGCTGAAATAGCTATATTATTTTATGCATAGGCAAATATTTTGTTTTACTACGCCAAACATGAGCTAATAGTTAACAGTTCTAGTGCTAGTGTGTCAGTGTTGTATCACTAAAGAAACAATAGTCTCTTCAGTGTTGCCCCAAGTATGTTTATCATCGATGGTAGTAAAGTAATATTCACAAAAATTCTATATGTTACCAACCCACTTTACTATACAAAAAAAAAAAATACAATACAAAATGTTTACCCTAAATAGATAATGAAATTCATCTAAATTATTTCTACAATGGAATAAAAGAAATACACATATTTTCATGAAAATACAAATCTTCAACATGGATGAAATTGCTAAAATCTCACCTTGTTTGCCAGAAAACAGTTCGGCAGGATAGTATGTTTTCTTGTGTTTGCCGTTGAGCCTCGCACTTTCCACCGCGTGACCTGTGGACCAGTAGATAAAACCTTCTACAGCGTCTACGTTTAACTCCTTGGCAACTGTGAGGATGGGTAACGGCTCCTGCTGGCTGCCGTTCAGGTTGCCACGGATAATCTGGAAAAATAATTTGCAGGCTTCAGAAGATGTTATGTTGGATAAAGTTGTATCAATACTTTGGATTTGCCTCGTGTCAAGAACTTCAGCTGCAATTTGGCAGTTTCTTTATGAATGTTATCATTGGGATTGAATCGATATGAGGAACATAGATTGAGATAGAAGTTGTCATGGGAGATGTGATTATATGGAGAAAACATTGGTTACATTGGTTACATTGGTTCTGAAAGAGCTCATGTGAAAGATTTTAAAGGGAGACTTAGAACAATAGTCATGATACAAGCTCAACATTTTCAAGTGAGTGTCTAACAAGTCCAATTTCCAATATCCTTCTTTTCTAGTATTGAAGGGAAAGGAATAACTTTTCTGATGTGATAACCATCATTATCATTACATTCAGAAATTAATTCTCACCTGTATAAAACTTTGAAATTAACATGATATTCATGCAGCATAATTGAGCGAAGCTCACTTTCCCTCACTTTGTAACTTCTTTGTAAGATCATCAGAATGTAATGGCTTGACCAATTGATATGAAATTTGGCCAACAGCTAAAGAATACTGAGCACAATGTTTTGGTAAAAAATATTTGCAAATTTCCTTCTGGATTTTATTTTACGGGTCACGCAATTTCGCTTGTTATTTTAATGTAAGTTGAAAGAAAAATTATATTGGGTTTATGACATATGGGTTTATTTCGTTTCATTTAAATAAGATAAACATATGTTAATTGTTTGTAACTGTTTTGTTTACATTTCAATGTTTACTTTCATCCTAGGTTAAAGTTGGAATGTAACAGTTTATCTATGGAAGTAACAGTTTTGCTATATTTGTTTTGAGTATGCCTCAAAGGCCACGTCGTAATATTAGTCGACGCACCAATAATGCAAATATTGTAAGAGAGTGGCGTCGTGAACAAGAAGAACCAGATGAAGCAGTGGCGGAAGAAGCTGATAATGATAGGCAGTTAGCTAATCAATTCCAACATGAATTAGATGCACTAAAATTTTACACTTGCACTAACTGTCATCCCCAACAACAAACAGCTTCAAACCAATCTCCGATTTGTTCGCGTTGTCGTTCAAATGCAACTAAATTCACGGCGTTAAATAATATGGATGTGTCAAGTGTCCCGAACGAATTAACTGACCTGACTATTGTAGAACAAATGTTTATTGCACGAGTACATCCCGCTATTCAGTTTCACTACAAAGGTAACATCATTGTTGAGCAAGATATATTAATGAAATAGCATCTGTCTTACCTACACTACCCGAAAACTTAAAAGTCATCATTGTCCAACGTCAAGGCGTCTTTGGCCATATCGATTTCAAAGTTCGACGTGAAAAACTACAGCAAGCACTTATTTGGCTGAAGGCAAATAACCCATTCTATTTTGACATAACCATTAGTGATGAAGCGCTACACCAACTACAAGAAAGAAGCTCTTGACCGTTTAAACGAAATGTCAAATACACATGTCTAATAACCTTTTATCAATTCTTATTCTTAACTAAATAAATGAACTAGGTATCAGATAAATTTTTCATTCTTTAGAACTTAAATAATATCGGGCAAACAAACGGTGAATCTGTTGAAAGGGAAAATATTGTAGGTTGTTAGCTGCTTTAGCCATTGACAATCTTTAAATAATGCTTCGCTCATTTATGCGTCTAAAGTGTAACGGCAGACCACCCTAGTTAGTACTATCAGTCATAGCATGACATTGACTGTTATGATAAATTATACCTAAGACATACTTTCTACTACCGGTATTTATAAATAGTGTTTTTTTATGTTTATTAATTAAATAGCCTAAAAAATACCTCGACCAAGATTGTGTTTTAGTCGGAACAAAAGAAATACACTTAGAGCCTTTAACTTTTTGTTCACAGACATTGACGGCAATGTAAAGCCATTTCAATGGAACTCAGCATTCACAAAAATTATATACATAAAACAGTGAATTACCAGCTGTTGTTTGGGATTCGACCAGTAGAGTTTTCTGCCCACCCAGTCCACGGCTATACTGCCCACAGACTCCAGGTCACGTAGTCGGCCACGTTTATGACTGGTCACGTTGTACCAGTGAACGTGACTTGTGTTGCTGACCAAGTACAGCTGGTCACGATACCACGCTATGTCCGTGATGTGATGGTATCCGTTTCTGTCCTGTTGGAAAAATTATTTGTTTTCATTCAAGTTTATTCCTACCCCAAGTGTATTCCAATCTTGTTATAAACTCTAACCTTAAAGTACTATCAATATTTATTTACATCTTACCTTGAGCGTGTCCCGATGTATCAGAGTCTCCACTCGCTCCCCTGTCACGTCAGATCTCAGCAGGCCCTCAGCGGCCGACCACAAGATACTCGGGGCGTTCGCCTCACTTGTCTGACGCAGAGTCTTCCCTCGAAACTCGGAGCTCCAAGGTCCAATGCCTGCACTCGTATATGCCGCAGCCTTCACTACATATTCTGCCTTTGGTTTGAGGTCGTGCACAGTGTAATAGGTTGAGTTGATTTCTCTCCAATCTAGCTCCTCTGCATTGACTAGCTCTTCTGCTGTGTTACGGATGCTCAGTTGGTAAGACCAGTTTTGCCAAGCGCCTTTACCTGCAAAAGTTTTGTTTTAATTATTTTGATAATAATAAAATCATTTATTTTTGTTAAAATATAAATAATTCTGTCAGTAGACATAAACCCAGGGAAAATCAGCATTGAGAATGAAAAGCCATTTCAATAATTAAGATAACATTTTCTTCCTGAGTTCTTCAAGAAGTAGTATTCTACAATCGTATACGAGTATTGTATTCTGGTATTATGATGCGCTGAATTTCACCACAGGTGTGAGCATCTTCATCAGGTATCTCTTTTACTATATTTACCCTTATATGGATTGTCACAATTACAAACACAGTTATAGAGAGTGATGTAGATAGATGTAGACAATGATTTTAGTCTGTCAAGCCGATGGTTTGGAAAGCCGAGTAAATCTGAAGTTTTCTGATTCGATCCTGAGCAGGTTTGATGCAACATTTGGTTGTAACACGCTCTCTGCGGCTGCGTCACCAGGGAGACAGAACCCAATGCATTGTTTGCCCAGTCAGTGTGGCTCAGGCTCTTGCCAAGGACGGTTGGTACACGTTAGTATTGTGTATCTAAAACCAGTCTATTGTTGTGGTGTAGGTTGGTAGAAAATTTCCCCGTAAAATCCCTGCTTGGCAAGCTTAGATATTGACTTGTTGTCCGGTCTTTCTCCCTGCAATTGGCAATTTTAAATCCAATTGTCCGTCAATCGGGTTCGTTTGACACTGCGTCGCACCACACTGGGTTGCGCCGGCCATTGATGGGCAGCGAGTGTGTTAATGCTGCTACCAAATAGAAAGTCAACATTATACAAAGATAAGAACGAGATTTGGACGGTTTTTTTAAAACAATTTTTAAAATGCCAATGCCAATAAACATAATCCAGAAGACCTGCGACAAAATATTTTTTCTTATATAATTGTGGAATAGTCTCTAAAGAACTCATTGAAAAAATAAAATCTTAGTAAAATTTATAATAACATTAAACCGTTCCTGAAACTGGGAAAAGTTCAATGACATGTAAAACTTTAATTAAAAATTGACCAACTGACCCTGTCCGCCCAGCAGGTGAGGTACAGTCCAAGACACCTTGGCCGTGTGAGATCCTAGCACAGCCTGTACTCCAGTTGGAGGGTTCACAGGCACAGGTATAGGCTGGGACGAAGGCAAGTTCACAGTGATGCTCACAAACGCTGGTTTAGCCTCATCAGTGTATACTAGGTTGTGGAAATAACTGTCCTGTTTGTAACAAAGAAGCCAGACACTATCATAATTAGTGGTCAACTGTTGGTTCGTAATTATATTTGAAAACTGTAGGATAGATTACTACTTAATGGTTTGGAATATTATTGCACTATCCTTCAATCATTAGACTGTTAGATATAACTACTTTGTACTAGAAAAATTCCTTTGCAAGAAAAGTCTACTTTTCCTGACAAACAGTGCCGGTACTGATAATAAATAATGTTGACACATTCACATTCAAATGTACACCAATTAAGCTATGATACATACCTGTCCAGCGTGATACTCCTCTGTCAGGACTCTCTCCCCATTGGTCCAGTAGAAGAGGCCGTTAGCCATCGCAAGGGAAATGACGTTGTGAAACTGCGGCTGTTGTGTGTTACTGCGAATATCCGTCACTTCATGGCTGTAATGCAAGGAAATTAGAATTTTCCTCGAGAACAGTTAGTTTAAATGGTTTTAGTTAGTTTAAATGGTTTTCTTATGCTAGCAGTACTATTGCCAGATATAGGCAAGCGCGATAGAGTACCTGGTCTGCTCGTGTACGCTCGGGACAGTTTGTCTCACCATGATTCGTGCTCACCTGCGCTCCATTTTTGTCTGTCTTTGGGACGAGTCAAAGTATACGAGCAAAGACGAGTGCCAGAAGTTAAAATATGACTATTTATATTCAAAATGTATATTTTCTTCCTCAGTTTCCTCACCGTGCTTGTTGATGTGACATAAAAGATGCTATAGGTTGAACTTTCAGTTTTGTTTGGTTAACAATTTTGACATTTTTGAAGGAAATCAGTAATTCACATTGACAGACTCTAGTGATGCCTCAATTCAAGTACTAATTTTTATTTCAAAACTGGTTACAGCTTTAGCAAGTGAATGTTTACATGGCTGGTTTCCTTTTCTATCTTATCGTTGAAAAGGCATCTGGGTCATAACTACTCAAAACTACACTTACCTACATTCACAAATTTTCTTATTGATCTAGTAGACTATTTTTAATCTGTGTGTACTCTAATGCTTGCAATACACTATTGCCAGATGTTCTGCTGAATGTTTAGCGGAATTTTTTGCTCGAGTTGCAACGACGAATGCTGCCAAACGTGAGCCTCGAACTCGCCCTTTTTTGCCAAAAATGCTTACTGGTGGTTAGACCAGTATGCTCTAAAAACCAGTAAGCATGTTCCACAAACTAGGGCGAGTTCAAGGCTCACGTTGCTCATGTTAACCAAACAAAACTGAGAGTTCAACCTACAGCATCTTTTATGTTACATCAACAATCACAGTGAGGAAACTGAGGAAGAAAATATACATTTTGAAATCAGCACATTCTGTGTGTGCGCTCATTCAACTATGTTCTTTTTTATTAAAAATGTGTTACAGCTGGTCCACCTAGATAATGTCTACTTCAGTATCATAAAGTGAAGAACTCACCCGTCCAGTGACACAGCTACGACCGTGTTCTCCGCCTGGTTGGGTACCAGGATGCGGAAGCTGGTGTGGTCGACAGTGAAGGCCCCGAGGTGAGGACTGGCCAATATCTGGTCTGGGATGACCTCGTGTTTCACTCCGTTGCTGATGTCTGCCAGGTCCAGTCGGTAGAGACCTCCTCCCACCGGGCCTTGTACCACCCAGAACAGGTAGCTGCAGAACACAATATAAAATAAACGGTATTAGCATTCTGACACATACTTTCTCCCATAAGTTTGTCAACAACCTTTATCAGGTGTAAGCGGTGAGAGTAAATATACGGAATTGGGATTAGTACAATTTTGTTCAGAATTTAAAGGACTACATACAAAAATTTTATCAAAATCGTTCGGGCCATTTTTCTGAAAATCCTATTTTTCCGTTATTTTATGGGGTTTTTATGGGAAAATAACATAATTTACAATAACTTTTGAACCGTATTTTTACAGAAATGGGATTCATACCATTTTTTTCAGAATATAAAGGACTATAACATACCAAATTTTTATCAAAATCGTTCGGGCCGTTTTTGGGAAAATCCTACTTTTCCGTTATTTTATAGGGTTTTATGGGGAAATTCCCATTAAAAATATTTTTTTTTAATGAAAAAACTATCAAAACTTTAAGGACCATAACATACTATGTTAAACTAAAACCGGATTTTTTCTAAAATCCTATTTTTTGTTATTTTATGGGGTTTTTATGTGAAAATAACAAAATTTACCATAACTTTTGAACCGTAATTTTTACAGAAATGGGATTTGTACCATTTTGTTCAGAATTTAAAGGGCTACAACATACTAAATTTTTATCAAAATCGTTCGGGCGATTTTCGAGAAAATGTGATTTTTCCGGTTTTTTATGGGTTTTTATGGGAAAATCCCCATTAAAAATCAAAATTTTAAAAAATTGAAAAAAACGCCTGGAGATACCATGGATTAGAACCTACATACCAAATTTCATTGAAATCGGACCACAGGTGTAGTCCCTAGCTCTGTACACATCCAGACACACAGACACACAGACATCACTTCGAAAACCACTTTTTTGGGTCCAGGGGGACCCAAAACGAATATATCCACTCAAAACTCAAACTCGAAAATTTTGACGAAAACAATAGGCTACTTTCTCCATATACTATGGTATAGGGGGAGAAAGTAAGAGTGATGCACTATTGAATACTACTACATAATTTATTGTAAGTTATGGTTATTAATTAACCAGGAAGTTTTTTTAGGGCAAAGATCACTTAAGAGTTTCAGTCATGGTAATTTCAACAACTCAATCATATTTGACCATTTCATTATTAAAACCATTAAATCATTTAAAATATTCAATCATTTATATCACACAGTGACATTTTAGTATGTGCGTCTTTCAGCTAAATTAGAATGTAGGTGAAGGTGAGTCTAGTAAACACCTTTGAACTACTCTCAAGAATTAACAAGATCGCACCACTATCTACACTTATCCTGCACTCTTATTTGTGTTAAAATACGCTCCTAGTGGGATTCCCATCTTAAATAATTGAATTGAATAATTAAGCTTCGAACCAGTAAACTAACATTCATCCAGCCTTTTAGTGTGGAACTAGTTCCAAGCAGAATTAAATACTACAGTAGAATAAATTACAAAAGTTTTTCACAAGCTTGGGTGTTTCCTTAATCTAATGCAAGATATACAAGATACACAATGTAGCATTGCAGGTATATTTGTTTGTTATTTAGACATAATTACCCATTATAAGGGTCGACTTCCATATGGTGAGGTTTAGTGACGAATCCAGCGACTGCAACTGTCAACCCAGAGCCATCTAGGTTACACCGAACCACCTGAAATATGTTCGAGTTGTCAATTGAGAGGAAGAAACATTGTAGAATATAAAACAGCATCAGTATAAGAGTTTGAGAGATTTATTCAATATATTCTATATTCCTCACATAACCAATAATCTTTGTTGGTATAGTAGATTTACATGAATGTATGAGTCCACTCAGGCAAATCCTCTCTTAACTCATCATAACTTCCTCGGTTGAAAGTGCTGTGAGTGACAGTGAAATACAAAAATTCCGCCCTTTCATAATATTGTGGTGTAAAGTATTTGATGTTAGTTGTGCAAAAGAGGACTCTTTCCTATCCAGATAAACCTACTATCCTGACAAAAATCCTCAAAACCTAGACCCTTTTACTCTATGTTGCGGCCAAAAAAAAGCAATATTCCTTGACTTTTCCCAACACTTGTAAAACCTCTCACCTGCCAGAGTGCGCTGCCCTTTGACTGTGCCAGGATATACAGCTGATCGTTTAGCCAGTCTACACTCAGGTGGTGAGGAATGAGGCCCCCCGAGCCCCCACGCAGAAGGGGCTCCGGTGTTGTGTACGAGCGAGATGACGACACCCACACGGTACTGGACGAGTCTGACACAAACAGCAACTCCTTCCGCACATGCACCGCCACACCTATAAAACATAAAGGTTTGTCTAGCTAAAAACACTGAAGTGAGTTTAATTGGTCGGTTAGTTAAACGATGAGCTTGGATGTAAGTAACTAAGAGTTAACAATGCTTTTGTTGTTTGAAATAAAATAATAAAATACACAACAATAAAAAAACACTTGAATGTTTGAATTCCTAAGTTTTTACAGAACATACACAGTAGCCTATTAAAGAATAAGTAAATTTTTCTTGACAAGTAGGAAAACACTCTCAGTTGATTCTCAAGTCCTCAAACTCGCTTATCAACCACAAACCTTTGATATGATGAGTTGTCTTGTACATGACTACAGGATCGTCTAACAGATCTGCAGCTTGGCTGATGACCGTGTTCCTGGCTCCCATTATCAGAATCAGCTGTTGAGTCTCTTTGACTGAAAATAACAAATAACATTTTATAGTAATGAAATCGTAGTTGAAAGCCACAGTTGATTATAAGTTAGAGGTCGTGCGGAACGAGGTGAAGCTTGGAGGGGAATAGTGGTGTGGCGGGGGAAGTGTCGCTATGCGAGGCGACGATCGGCTCGTCTCCTACCCCCACCATGGATTTCCCCGCTTTAGACCGTTCCCGCCGAAAATCTCAGGCTTCACCTCGTTCCGCACGACCTCTACCTGTATTTTCTTTCAAAAACTTTTTCCAAATGGATAACTTTTTTAACTAGATGAAAATATTGGTTATTGTTATTGAACATTGTAAGAAGATTAATAGTTTATTTTTGGCAAAAGTAATAGTGTAACGCTAACATGCCAAGAGCTAATGTAAATCTCAAGGGTCATAATAAAGCAAAAAGAGGTTACACTTAGGTTTACTTAATTTCATACACATTATTGAAAATCTTTTCATTTCTGTTTGGGTAATAAACAAATATATTACTGTACATAGCTTATACACTTAGGGATAACTGAAATATTAGATAACAATAGTTCTAGAGGCTTGACATTCTTTGTTGTACACTAAGCTCTCACCTTCAGCAAAAGCCGGGGTTGTCACAAAGGCAGTGGCTACAGGACCCAGGCCAGCTGCATTTCTCATCGAGACGGAAACAGAATAATTTCTCGACGGCATCAGGTTTTGGAACATGTAGAAATCCTTGTTCTCCGAAGCTGGTATGTCCTGGGGAAGTTTAGGTTGGTAAACAATCTCGTCTAACTAAAACGTGTGCGTTGTACAGACAAACTATATTTACACCACCCCTATTATTAGTATGCCTTAATAAACACAAGAAAATTAAGTCAACATTGATGATTGATCCAATTTATCGGTTATTATATTACAAAATAAACATTGTCAACAATTTAATAAGAGGACTCTCAGTAGCCGTGTTACCAACTATCTTCCAAACTCCCACTAAAATACTTAGATCTCTAAAAACTACAAGAAGTTAACTCCTTAACTCTAATTTTTTAAATTTTGAAAATCTCAACTGTCACAAAAAGACTGCTGATTTGAGCAGAAATCTAAGGGCAGTGGAGTAGGTTGTTACTACGTACATATAAATCACATTAGCAAGCCACTAGTAACCAAAGTGATAAAGCAGTGGATGTTTAGATGATTCAGAACCTGTAATGTTTATCTTACCAACCATAGAGCAGCCACAGAGCTACCTGTTTAGCAAACTGCGGACTCGCTATGAATATGAAACTATCGTCTTTCAAATTCTTACTGTGATTAACAAGCTGATAAAAATACTGTTAATTCTGTAACTGATCAGGACTGAATTTGATCTACATTTGAGTTGTATAGTGGCCTGCATCTTATTAACTTTTAATAATTGTTGAAATAATAGATTTTGACAGCTTGAAAACTAATTCAATCATAAAATTATATAAAATTATTATGTAAACTATACAAAGTTATCACTACTACGAAAACATGCAGACACATGGCATGCTGGATGTTTCTGTAATTAAATATTAATTCATAGAAACAAACAAAGGACACTTAGGTTAGTGAAACAAACACGTGTAAATAGCTAGTTAGTAAAATGTTTAACAATATTCTAACAGTAATTGTTTAATTTAAAATTATCATGGTTATAACTGATTATAGTTCGGCCGCTTAGAAAGCGACCTCCTCTAGCATTGGTTTAGCATTAGCGCGCAGGTCGTTTTCTAAGCGGCCGAACTATAATTATGTTATGTATTTCCCTATTTCATTAGGTTGTTGTGAAGAAATTGTGATACAACACAGATTCAAGAGATTTAACCCAGAAACTTTACTCTTTTTTTGACTCTTCATTTTTTTTACTTATTCCGACTAAATAAGTCAAAGTTTGTTATATTACTCTAATAATTGTGATTAATTATGAAACAATAGTGGGCTAGTATTGTAAAACTATTTGAATGCCACCCATGCTTATAAAAACACTCAGGACAACAGACAAAAGCACAAAAGATTGAAGAAGGAACAAAAATTATTAGTAGATCATCAGCTGCAGATCCAAATACTGTTGGTTTTTTACAACAATTTTGGGTGGATTTTTGCATTTAAAACAAGGGTCACAATAGAATACCCGTTCCCTTTCAGGGAATGTGTTTTCTATGAATGTAAGATTGTTCTGGCAGTTAAAAAAAAGTATAGAACTGTATAAAAATTTGTCACAGATATGTTAATCTGATTGAAATACAAAATGGAATAAAAAATATTGGAAAGTCATAAATTGATCAAAGTACCCCCCTAATTCAGTTATAATACCGAATTGCTGATATTAGTCTATACATTTTGTTTATGTACACTGGGGTTGTAAAATTTCCAAAAAAACAAACATTTTCGGGGTAAGGTTTTTTTGGGATACCAGTGCAATGAACATTATTTATTTTTTAATATAGAAAAGATGGAATGGGTAAGGTTTTTTGGGATACCAGTGCAATGAACATTATTTATTTTTTAATATAGAAAAGATGGAATGTACACAATAATCATACCATTTTACCACAGGTTTTGTATTAAACCAAAATAATTTTCCTGGATTTTCTAAGCACAATGTAGCCTTTGGTAAAGACGCCAAGCAAATAAGAGTTATTACAACAAAAAGTATATTTTAACTTTTAAATTATTACTTATAATTTTATTAGACACAATGTTTAAAACAAAACTGCCAGAACCAATCCCAGCTACACATATCACTTAGTGACAAATACATATTCCCAAAACACCTTTCTGACTGGCAAGAAAAGCTCTGAAAGCCACACCAGTTGTTAAATGAAAGTGATTTATTTTTGTCAATCTTAAACTATATAGTAGTTTAGATCCAACCTTTGGTATTAGATCCTTATGCTAAGCTCTCAGAGCCACTTATAAGTTAGAGTCACTTATCAGCTACATGTTAAAAGCTCTATGAGCCTTTGGTAAACTACAAAGCTTGCCTGTTTCAATATTAAAATAGAATTATTATTCTTTTGATTTTTTTTTCTTCAATTCATTTTCAGTTTGATTCAACTATTATTGTAGAATATAGCATGCCTAAAGCACAGTATGCAACATGATAATTTCAGATACATGGAAACAGTAAAGGAGTGGGAAAAGCATTTTAACTTAGAATTATTCAAGAAGAAAAGCATGTTTTATACAGCTTGAAGATACAATTTTCAATGTATGTAATAATAAATAAAACTGTGTATGGCAATGTTTTATTGCTCTATCGTCTCATTTTTGTATGCAGTTTCATGCTAAAAAGCATCTTAAAAAGCTCAATTCTACATTTTTTGAGTCATACACAAAGAAGCGATGCTTAAGAGCATTTTATCACGACTAGAAAAATCAATGCCAAAAAGCATTTTGAGGGTTCATTGCTATAATTTTCTCCATGTTACCTTGAGGGCCGTGTAGCCCTGCGGTAACTCATTGATCTGCAGCACAAAGGAGAGGATGGGACCGTTGGGGAAGGGACCGGGCTCCCAAGACACGGAGACACGGGATGGGTCGGCAGCGGTGGTGCGTACTATGGCGGGGGGAGAGGCAGGGGCGCCCCCGGGCAATGTGCTGATCACTAGAGACGGCTCTGAAACTATAGGCTCCGTGTGGTGGGGCGACAGCAGCAAGGCGATGCGGAACTGAAACATAAAAGAGTGAGGTGTCAGGTTAAAGAGAATACCTATAAAGGTTAACTGGTTTAGTTTGGTATGGTTTTTAACATAGTCCGTAACAGCTAGTGTGTACGACTTTACTTTTTGAGCATCCGTTCGCTCCAGGAGGCCATCTGACTTGCCTTTCTCCAAGATGGATGCCAATCATTGAATACAAGAAAATGTCCAGTATCGGTAGTGCTTTGGCTATTCAATTTACATTATCTCTTAGTCGGTTGACATCATATAAATCCCATTACATGGATTTATTCTTGGGATCCTTTTTGACTGTCCAAGTTGCCAGGAGCCCTGACTTGACACTGGGTGGACTTTGCTAGAAGATAGTTTTGAACCTTGGGACCATTTACTTGAAGGAGGAGAGTGTATAAATATTTCTCGCCTTTCCTGATCCTACAAATAATTTTACCAGTAGGTCTAAATTGATAATTTTTTCTGAAGCCAATAAGAATACATCAGACATACCAAAAGACTCAGGGATCGGAAATGAAACTCTTGAGATAACAATCAAGAAACCCATTTACGTGGTATGAAAACTTATCAGAGAATACTATAGATTTCACCAGGAACAGGAACGGACACAATACAAAGCTCCTAGATACATATGAAACTAAAATTAACAAGAAAACTTACACAATCAACTAATACAACATTTCTATAATCAATTCTCTCACCCTATACTTGGTGTAGGGCTGCAGATTGTCTACTCGGACAGTAGCGTGAGGCCCCCAGCTCTGGTTGCGGCAGTACTGCCATGTGTCTGCTATCTCCTCGTACCTCCACTGGACCAGGTAGCTGATGTTAGGAAGTCTCGGACCATCCCACTCTAGGCTGAGAGAGGTGGCTGTAAGGGAATCTGCCACGAGTGCCGGCGGAGGCAGTGTGCCTATCCTCTCTGTAAAAAGTCGTTTCATATGAATAGACAAAAAATAGAGGAATAATTGGACACTTAAGAGTGTTGATACACTTGTGATAAATGGGTCAATGGTCTATGTTATGAACTGTATCGAATTTTGATTTGTGTTGATGCAGAAATGCTTTTCTTCAGTCACATTTTCACAGTGCAATACCTTTCAAGAGTATGTATTCATGGGTAATAAATTAATTCATACATCTATCTATCTATCTATATATATAATACGTGAAGCCGTTTTTTGTTAACGCAACTCCTCCCTTATTTGTGGACCAATTTCAACGTTTAAGGTGTCAAAAGATTCGTCTCAATATGTAGTTTTGCATTAAGGTTTTAGAATTTTAAAATTCTTACTCTTAAGGGGGTGAGGCCCTCTCAAAGGTCGGGTTTTCCCCATAAGAAATACATAGAACAAATTTAAAAACAAAAAACAGCTGGTTATAAAAAGAAATTCATTAGCTTTTTGGGAGTAAATATTGATGTTTGTAATATTCAGTAGGTTAAGACCAAGTTAAACAGTTAATCAGTTTTGTTGGAAGATCAGAAATGCCTCAAGTTCAAAGAAGAAATATTGAAAACGGGAGGATGAGACAATTAATAATAAGATATCTTATGCGTATGAGGAGACTATAAAAAGAGAGGCCTGGTCTAACAGATACCCATCCAGATACACATTCACTTGGTGAGATGGATAATATTGGCCAGCTCTGCTATGCAACTTACTTTGGAAGTGATAAAATACACGAAGCACATAGTGTTTTCACGGTGGTAAAGTAAATGTCAGATGAAATGAATGCATGGAAGAAATGTTTACTTCTGACATTGACGGATCGAGATATTTCAAAACATTTATTAAGAATGCCTTGACTATGATAAGTTCAAGTACCGGTACCGGTAGTAAGATTATACCAAATCTTGGCGGACCTTATGTTTTTATTGTTAACTTTTGTATTACTCCTCTACTTCAATTTAGAAAAACGCAAATGGATTGTTTTACTTCTAGGTTATATTGCCAGTTCCACGGACAAACTTATACAAAGTTTTTTGACTGAATTCACCAACACAATCCAGACATTTCAAGTCGAAATAAGAAGTTTCAAAAACTCATTTGCTATTGAAAGTTTTAGTGGCAATATTAGACCAAACAAGTGAAGGAATTAGTATTTATGTAAATGACCCAACTTAAATTACTTAACACAGGTTATCAGTAAGGCAACAGTTTTCTTCTCTCAATGCTGGAAAAACATTGTAGCATCATGTTAACTCGAATTGAAGCAGATCGTTTAGCATTAATTAGAAGTTAGTTATCAGTTAAAACTGAGAGCAGAAATAATGTAGGTGAACCTTGACGACGCAAATACAGATATTAAAATTAGTTTCTAACAAGTGTTTAAACAACTCTAAGTTGTAACTAGAATTACTTGAATTTAAGCATAACGTTTTCCTCGGCATTATGTTTCATGAGCCGCTCGGGTTCTCTAGTTTTAAAAGATTCAATGTTTTTACAATAGTCTATAACTAGCCAACCTAGCGCAAGGAATCGTGTGCAATCTAGACATAGGAGAAGAAGGATTCGTATTGATCTTTTTTATTTGGCGTTTTCGGGTTTCTTGGTTTTATTGTTAAAGGTGGAGACGGTAAAAGGCCTGATTGAGTTCGCAGTTTATCTGCCGTTTTTGCAGTTAGTTTTGCGAAAGTTAGTAAAAGATCATCTTTTGATTAATCAACAATAACCACGAATACTAGAAAAATACTGGTATGGATCAAACATAAACAAATGATGTTTATGGCCCAAATCTGATTGTGTTTATGACCTATGGGTCTTTTCTAGTATTCGTGACGATAACCTAAATTCCACCATGATAACCAAAGCCCCTCGTTCCCACCACCACCTGGCTTAAGTCTGGGACTTATTTGCCAGGCCAATCAACCATGAAAAATGGTCTTTCTTCTCACCTTTCGGCCACTTATAATTTTCGTCCAGACACATCATGACTCCCTTCCCCCTACCACCTTAGCAATAGGGATAATTGGAATTCGCTCTAACCTTTCCTCTCCCCTTCATGGAGAAAGTTTTCCTTCTTTGTTTATGTTTGTTTCTTTTTAAAATTAAAAAGCCTGTATGTATTTCTTAACTACTTTCCTAAGAATCTCAATTGTTTCCTTGTCTTTGATCAATTTTCATTTTCTCTTCTCTAGACCTTTCCTATCCAAGACTTCTTCCTGTTCTTTCATATTTGCCTCCTGAAGTGGACAATTCAACATCAATACGTGACTCGCGGTCTCTATTTCTCCGCATCTGCATACTTCCCCAGACAGCACACTTTCTCCTCAGGACATCCCACGGATATTGCGACAGGATATGCAAGATATCCCATAGTGGTCCTATGGGCAACTTGGGATATCACAGGATATCCACAGGAATGCCTAATGTCCCCGCCCGGGGATGTCCTAAGGATAAGCTCACACGCATATCCGTGGGACATCCGAGGTCATCCCAGGGTAGTCCTCAGGACATTCTCAGGACATATGGGACTACTATGGGATGTCCCTGGGATAAAGTGTGGTCTGGGCCTGAACATAAAAAACACAAAATAATATAGATTTAGTATGAAAAGCTTAATTATAAGTTTAGTAAATTGATTAAATAGTTAATAAACACAAATTTTGAAGAAAAAAACGAGAAAAAAGTTTTTGGCCCAGACGGGTTTTGAACCTGGTACCTTCGCCTTGTGAGCCTCTTACCTTACCTCCTGAGCTATCTGCGCTTGTTGATTATGGATGTTTTCAAGTTGTTAAAGAGTAGCCGACAGTTGCAATGGTCGCAATACTTAAAATATTTTTGATACTACAGTATAGGCTATATATGATTCTGTTAATCTGTTTAGGCCTCAAGTAGTTGAATTGTTTTTCTGGTAGTTGGAGAGGATACTGGTATTTGAATATAGATTATTTAATCACCATTAGATTAGCACTGTAATAATTGATTGTTATATAATTAAAATTAGTTTTTTGTTGTTTTATTAATTTAAAGTTAGAATTAAATTCACATTCCACACAACTATGATAGAACTCTAGTTTTCCTGAACTCAGTGGTAGTAATATGTCAGTAAAGTAAAGTCAACCCTTGCTAGCCATAGTATTAACAAGACATATTTTCAATCTGGGAAACCTTAAACTTTTAAAATAAATTATAAAACCTCAACATCTTAATGCGTGGGAATCTTATTTTTAGAAAAAAAAAAACAGACCAAAATTATTTGTTAAATAATGAAGACGGCCCAATAATTATAAATTCGGAATTACTGAAAATAATTACATCAAGAACAACACTGTAACATATCCAAAATTCAAAAGATTAATTTTTCTAATATTATTTTTTATTTTTCCAATATCCTTTAAATCATCTGTTTTAACTTTGTTTAAAATTAATTTATTAAGTAAATATTTACTTTTTGTACTAGTGTAAACACAGCCTGAAGATGGAAACCAAGTTTCTGAAAGCACTAGTGAAAAAAACAAATTATTATATATTGGCCTTGTTGAACATTTAAATTTAGATATACTGTACATTTCATCAGTGGTAGTATTTTTTTTCTTCAGTTTGTTACCGGGACATTACGGGACATTACAGGATATCCAGTGGATTTTGTACATGTCCCGGGATGTCATGGGACATTCTGGGATATCCTATGGCATTCGTACATATCCCGGGACTTTACAGGATATCCTGAGGTTAACTTACAAATCCCGGGACATTACGGTATATTGTAGGATATCCTGTGGATTTCGTACTCGTCCCGGGATTTTGCGGGATATCCTGAGGATAGCGCACATATCCCGAGACATTCTCAGGACATATGGGACTACTATGGGATGTCCCTGGGATAAAGTGTGCTGTCTGGGTCCTCTTCCACTAAGTTAAATCTCCATCCATCCACACTCACATTCACCTTGCAATTTGCATATGCTGTGACAAACTGTGTCCAATAATGGTATATCTCCCAATCTTGATCAAGTCTCCTTCTGATGTTTGGAATATATACGAACGTTTCCCTCACTTTCTTACTCTGTTCCCAGCGCATTAGCCACTCATCTAATGTCTCCTCTCTTCTGGCACTCTTGCTTTCTAACGTAGTCCTACCCACGCCCAGTCTTGTCTTCCAAAATCCTAATCCTTTCTTCAATGAGCATGTTGAGTGGTAAATAGTTGACAAATTACATGTCTAACATAGAATTTTGATTATTTTCTATAATAAAGCTTTGCCTAAGCCTAATCCAAAAGTGTGTTTAGCCTTTTCTAGATCTACTGGGTGCCTGGTTAATTTTATAGGGTTCTAGTGAAATTTAATGAAAAAAGAATTTGGCAACTTTTATTGGAGAGTTGAAACTAAACAACATGCAGCATGTATGTTTTAGTCTATGTCAAGACATACCTTTGAGCTCATGAAAATATCTATTCACAGCATCATTGCATCCCATTACACAGTAGAGTTCCTTGAGTGGAACCAGCTCCTGGGTTCCATTCTGAAAAATCCACAGATAGGTTAGGTGGGAGGGAGTGATAATTTGTTAGGCTATAAGCTGATGTTTGGATAACTTAAATTAAACATTCATGGTAAAACCACATATTATAATACCATTGACTATTGGGTACTGAAGTTGTATTGATAGTCAAAGATAATACTGAGTTTGTTATAAAGTAGTTTTAAATATTATTATTTAATTAATCTCAGTACAATGTGATTTGTGAATGTTTTAAAATGCCGTCGCTCTACCTCCATTGACAACGTTCTGTACGGTTGCGAGTTTCGATTCGACGTAGTACTGCTTAGCGCCGTTAGGAGCGCTAGCAGTACTTACCGGTAAACTTTTGTGAGAACTACGGTATTTTAAGTAGTAAAAGTAATACTTTTAACGATTTAACTTACCTTTCAAACACTTTCGTCATGTTAAGTTACTTATTGTGTACTATTAAACACAATTCAAAACTAATTTACATAGCAAACATTATTAATACGGCCTGTTAAAAGTAGGCGTCAGACGACAGAAAGTTGGTTTGGCTTCTTCGCATATATACTCGACTGTTCCATCTATCTTTCGTACTTGCTTCGGCAGTACATATACTAAAATTGGAACGATACAGAGAAGATTAGCATGGCCCCTGCGCAAGGATGACACGCAAAATCGTGAAGCGTTCCACATTTTTTGAGAAAAATTACCATACATGAAAGTTAAATAAATCATTTTTTTAGGTTCAATAAGAGATTTTTATTCATAGCTTACTTTGTTCTGTTTTAGAATCAGGATGGATTAGGTAAAATTTTAAAAGAAAGTATAGGTATTTTAAAAAATGTTAAATTCACTTATTGATGGATTATTCTATATAACATTTTAATTTATAATTTTTTCCCTTTTCAAACAGTTTTAGTTAAAGAGGATGAGAATGAAATTAAAAACATCTATCAACCGGTGGCTGGATGTGGATTCAATAAAAATCAAATCAGAATAAAAACTATTAAGAAATACAGTAGACAGACCTACAAAGCAAAGTCGTATGCCCGACATCACCACTCTACGAGTATAATTTAATGCATACCTATTACCATTGCTGTTGTGTACACAAGTTTTAAGAACATGTGAAAATTTTAAGAAATTTTAAAAAGTTCTCAAATTTTCCGAGACCGGAACTAATGACGTACTAGTAGGTGTGTATACGCCCCTCTCTTAATAAATCCCTTCTAACCCGATTTTCCCTTTTAACTACATCTCACGTGTTACTTTCAAAATACAGCGTTGTGTATCTGAGCAAATAAACGAATTGTTAAATTACAACAATGTAACAGTAGAACCAGCTGATCCGAAATACATTCATCCCATCACTAATCAAATTTCCCTTCATGGGGAAATCAGCTGTTACTGGTACGTAGGAAAGTTAGGAAGTTTTTATATAGGCCGGGGCCACACTTTGTACAGTGTGTCACTGGGTTCAAAAAACATTAAAAAAAGCAAAAAAAAAACACACTTTGTAATTGCTCAACTAATGGGGCCACTACTACTACACTATATACTACCATTAACTTTGACTATATACTATAGATAAATATTATGGTTTTGCCATTGGTATATAGTCAATGCTACTACTAGGTTCGGGTCCTCTAAATCTAAAACACAGTTCACAAGGATGTAAATTTTAAATAATCTTGATTGTTCCTCGTTTGAATAAAAATGGAATGACCTACAAAAATCCCATTTTGCAGGTTTGCAGTGATTGGGATGATTCCAAGCACTCATCTGTAAGAGGATTTTGTACCACTCTTGAAAAAACCACAACGTGAAACCATATTTTTGTTTGGTGGTCTAATTAAAAAAAAATTGAGAGATTTTCAATAATACAGACTATTATAGCGATTGAATACAGGTAATCAATTAAGACTATAAATAAGATACATAATATACTTACACAAACCACCTGACAGCTACTTTCCAGGGCCTTCTGCCACAGCTCACATCCTCTTGAGCACTGAAAAAACATGCTGTCGATAAGTTTTAATATATACAAATTGAACATAAATAAATAAAATCTATCTATATTATTAAAATAATTTGTGTAATTTTTATGTGCATCAAATCGACCCCTAAATATTTTTTATAGGCATATTTGGGTATCAATTTAAATCTCTCTCTAGATGTGCCTTTTGCTGGTTTGGAGGATATCCCTTAAAGCCCTTCTTTCTGAAGGATTTTAAAATTGAAGGGTTTGTGCTGAATTATGTTGTCAATTATCTGAACTTTTTCATGTTTACATTTTATTTACATCAAAACAGATAGCCATGAAACATTTTTGTTTACATCCATACGAAAACGGTGTTATTATAGCTGGTGATGTTTTTAGTGAATTCAAGTAGAATATTGTAAATTTTGACATATGAATTGACTCGTATGTAGACATATTAACTAAAAAAAAATCACCAAATTAACCCCTCACGTGGTTAGGCTATCTTATTTAAATAGTCAAAGATGATCTTTTTTGCAAATTTACACGCCATTAGTTTTAAACGCAATGCTCTAAAATGGCTATAGATATAAATACCTAGTTAAAGATTTATGAGCTCTCAAATGTACCCTGCAATATGCATTCTTTTTTATTTGTCTAGATCAAAATTGAATTATTTCCCAGAGTATTCGCATACAAATGAGATGGAACAAATCTATCTATACTTATTTAATACGCAAGCAAGATTTTTGTGACAATTACTCCTCCGAAACTACTGAACCGATTGGCATGTTTTTGGTGTCATTGGAAAGAGCGTAACGTGAAGTTGTGCAGGAAACTTTCTTTTTAGGGAAATAATTAGAGAGTGAGGCCCTGGGGCCCTTTAAAGTTTCATATTTCTCCATAAGATTAACATGGGAAACAAAAATTGTTATGAAACTCCAGCTGTTGTCAGAAATTAAAAGTGATAAGAAGACCATATGTTAATTGTAAACAGTAAATAAGTTTGCTACAAACATTTACAGACTTGGTTAAAATTCGGTTTAAAATAACGCCTGTTATACTTAGCAATTGCTCGAATTCGAGCAACAGGAACACTAGTTCAGAATAAAATTACAATCCCCTTCATTTCACTGCAGATATTCATGGCAAACTCCTCCAATAATCAAAAGTAGTTTTTCACACCAAAGTGCACGCTGCTGATACTGTATCTCTATCACACGAGGTTATCTTTCCCTGATATTGTGAAAAAACTAGTTATGCAAGATTTTGATTTCACTTAAGCGTTTACACAGCCGGCGCCAAGACAATTGATTTGCATTCTGTTGCACTATAACTTGGATAATGAGTGCGAAGGTCGTATTTCAAATAGAAATTCTTCGTGAGAGAATTTGTACAAGTTTTGATCGTATCTGGCACAGTTTTGATAAGTATATCTTCCGTGTTCCGCATACAACTAACGTGTTACACTAAGTTGAAGATAACATTATTATGTTGAAGATGAATTTTGTGAACAAGTTGTGGTAACTGCTTTGTAAACAGCATAAACTCAATCATTTAAAAATCGTTTCCAGATTACTACGAGATCTTAAAAAAACATAGAGAAAATTATTTACGAAATCACAATTTTCACCACACGGACATTACTGTACCTTACTCGCCTAATTAAATATATTGATATTATCCACCATTATTATAAAATAAGTTCCGGTAACCCAGACCATTCCTTAGTGAATGTACAGTATTAACAGCAGTATATAATAATGTTTCAGCAGCACAGAATAAATCGACGGTCCAGAATATAATTTATCACCTATCAGTAGTTGAGAATATTACGTATCAGTCTAGACTGTGATTCGTCAGCTCAGAGCTCAGAATACGATTTAGTTCTTCGCAACTACATATATCAAGAGTAAACAAGAATATAAATCATTGGTCAGTAATGTTACCCAAACAATAGTACAGACCACAATATAGAATTCCAACTTCCGTGATCTCCTAAATAACCTACAGCACTCAATTAACGTCTTAAATCTCCGCAAACCTCATTCAAGCTAGAACTGAGACTGAGATTACGTTTCCAAAACTCCGTAACATAAATCTTAACTGTTTGACACAACGTGTGGATTTTCTTGTCGGCAAGCTATTAATCTGCTGATGGTCGGGGTGTGAAGACACCGTGTTGAAGAGGGAAGCGCAGAGCTCAGGGCGTAAACTAACCAGATGGGGTTGTCAAGGAGGAGGGGGATGGGGTCAGTTACAACAATCACCAGACAGCTGATGGTCAGTTTCACAGTGTTAAAACCTCCCCTAATTCCACTGAAGCGCCGACAGATCATCTAGATCAACCCTCTCAACCGAACCATTGTATGATGCGGTAAAACAGAAACAGTAGTATTCTCTATTGGTCATTTCCTGTCTCACTTTTTGTAGCACGTTTTTTAAGGATGAATAATGGTAGAGTGTTGTTAAATTTCATGATTAGTAGGCTTACAAAGTATCTATAAAGAAAGTAACGGTTTAACCAAGAAATTTCTACTTCCTTTTTCTGACAGCTTCCGGACTTCGTTAATAATAAAATAAAACTTGTATGACTTTTATATTAAAAATTAGGTTTCTCTAGATGCAGTCAATTATTTTATGGCTGATAAATCAAAATCTAAAGATGAACTACAAATTATGAAGTTTTGGCTATATCACAGATCGCTTAAGCCTTAACAAACCAGCATCACCCAGTGCCTGGGGGATTTGGAAATGGAACCAATAAACGATATAAAGTGAAAAGCGACGGAGATGCAGCCAAGAGGGTCAAGGCTACGGCTAAGTAGAAGATTGGTGAGGATTGGAGCCTATTGGACGGTGTCTGACATTGTTTGTGTAGCCAATCTTCATGTATAGTAGGTAGCCACGAGTCTACTGGATCGTTTAGACAGTACAATTATCAGTGAACCCGGTTTCGAACCATCAAACACTATTGACTTTCTCAGGATTCAACCTGCAACAGACTAAGATTGGCGCGAATTGGAGCCTATTGACCGGTATCAGAAATGTGTTTGAAAAAAACAAAAAAAACCAGAAGAAGTTATTCAAGAAGTTCTGATCAAGAAGTTATTCAGAAATGTGTTTGTCCACCCAATCATCATAATGTAAATTGTTAACCTCATAAACTGTAGTGTAACTTAAATAAATTGTATATTTCTCGATTTATGATTCTGCTAGCTGAATCCATGTAACGTTGGATATCATAGCTACTATGTGACGTCATATAGCCTGGTCAAATAAACTCACCCTATTGGTTGTTCCATCACACCACCTTCCGTTCCCACTGCTACCTGGATCACCCGAAAACACGCTGTATCTCCCTCCAGTCGTCGTCCTACCTCACCGGCTCCCGCTCGCCAACGCCAATAATGCTGTTTTTCTAAGTTATTTCATTTCAATCATCTGATCCTTCGTTCGCATCTAGGTCCGGATGCGACAATGCCGACGAGGATGGGACATCTGATTGGTTTATAACCACGCATAAACAAAAGCATTCAACTGATTTTTTCTGTCCAACTCTTCACCAAGCTCTAACCAATTACCGAAGTGTTAACCACGCTGGGGTCCGGGTTTTGTTTGCTTGTAAACATTCGGTTTCTTTTGTGTGCCTCACTGTTAAGTGTTAACTGTCCCGGGAGGGGGTGAGGAGGGGTTCTCAAACAACCCCGTAATTATCCAATGAGCACAACGCCTTGTCTGTCCACGGCCCACGTAATCCGACGACCGTCGCACACTCCACGCTCCGTATACTGATGAGACGGCGCCACACACACACACACACACACATACGGGGTTTTACCGAATACTCGCAAACACCTAATTGTGGCATCTTTCAACCTGCGGCCACCAGTGGATGAAGGAAGGTGGTAGAAACATGTCTGCATCGATATTTTTAATGAACACTCCATTTTAACATCTAACATTCCAGTTTTTAAATTGTGGCACCATGCCACAAATCGGTATATATCAACAGTGTGTGGACAGGATGCCACTAATGCGTTGTAGTGCTTGAGCGGTGTGTGCGCCCCCCCTACTTCTCGCGTGCGCTGTTGCCAGTTCTCCGTTCTAGTTCCTTCATTCCGTTCTGTATTCATGTGGCTATGCCCTAGCCACTGTAGCTCATTTCCCGCGCTCATGACGTCGTCTTTTATTAGTGTAAGGATTTTATATGAAGTTTTTTTCAAAGCTCCAATAATTTTTACAATTAATGGATTTAAAGTCAATGGACCAAATGAAATGTCGTGAGGATTACATAAAACTACATGCTATTTTGTTGATATTTTATCGTCACATTGTATGTATGGTTTACGAACTGAGATACTAGGAATAAAGGCCTTAATGTGCTGGGTAAATTATCAGTTTCATGGGAATATACAAGACATTTATTCTATCTATATATTAATTACGTAAGCCGATTCTTTGCGTCAAAATTGTGGGCGACTGGGAAGTCGTAGAACGACGTGAGAGGGCTCAAATTAAAGGTCTTTATCCCGTGACGGCGGGAAAAATAGTGAAATTTCCAAAATCTTAACACAAAATTAGATATAACGTACAATGTTTTCCATAAGAATAGCATTAGAAGGCATTTACTGCTGATTTTTGTTTACTTCAATCTAGCTGATCGTGATTTTATCATTAGCAAGTAAGCTTACATTTGGATTACTCATTTACCAGTCAATTCTGCAACGTAATGTATACTATATAAAACCAACTATGTAAAGGGATAACGTTACCTTTAATAATCAAGACTTTTTAGTTATGTCAAAGTTGAAATAAATTGTTTTCAAGATTTAAGAAACGATTCAAGATTAAAAGAAGATCTTCTTTGTTTTTATTTCAAAACATATGTAAAAGATTTATTCCCTTTTTTTTAATTTACTAACATTTATATTTGAAATTTATTGTAGTGCTTAATCAATATTTTGTATGAAGTGGAATAACCTCAACGGTTACTCTTAGAAAACAATTTGGGAATAGAGATGAAG